GTGAGTGAGGTGGTGAAAAAGCTGACAGAATGCTTTATGTATGGGCACACATGGAAGGGGCTTGTTGGCTGGTGGGCTTCCCTGTAAGATAGGATGGCAAGAACAGGGCTGTTTTTTCGGGGGTCCCCAAATGTTTGTATAGCAGGTCTTTTCTTGTGCTGGGCTGTTTAATTTCTCCACAAGATGGACCAAGGGTACGGGCCTGCCGTTCACTGTCCTAGGTACCCAGTGAGCAAGGGAACTTTGACAAAATCTTGTTTGCAGCCCTCGTCTGACCCCACCCCGAGCTGTGCCCTGGGGAACCCCTCTAGGTCCAGGTGCTCCAGTTCATTTTCTGCAGAGAGCGAACGCGTCTGTCTCCCAGGGCTGAGGATGTCCTGCCTGCAGGGGCTTGGGGAGGGGAGTGGGATCTTCCTGCCGCCTCTGCAGACTTCCCACCGGCCCTCCTGTTCACAGCCTCATCTTGAGGAGTGTGGTGCCTCTGACACCTGAGTGTCTCCCAGGTTCTGGGGCACAAATGGGAGCACTGTTGTTGTGAACTTCCTAACAGGTGCTGGGTTGCTGCTAGGTCTGTCCCCTTTGGCCATCTGCTCTCCCCCTGTTTGCTCTGTGGTCCTGCTCATTACCGTGAGCAGGACAGAGATGAGCACATCCATTCAGTTCCTTGTATTTGAGCAGAGGATGATGCTTCTTGCCTCCCTCCTCCCCCCTCCTCCCCCCTCCCAAGTACCCCTCCTCCAAGCACCCCCATGCCCCTTCTCCTCCTCCTTCCTCCCTGCTCCTTCCTCTGTGCCCAGAGCTTTCTGTGCCCTGACAGGAGGCAGCATGTAACACAGAAAGGGGGGGATGAGGAGTCAGGAAACTGAAGTGTTCTACACGCAGATGGGGTTCACCTCCTGTCCTACTTTACCACCTCCTTAACTCTCCCCACCTGCTACAAACACCCCCAACGACCACATCACAACCCGCCTCACCTCAGAGCTTCAATGAAAAGCTGACAGAATGCTTTATGTATGGGCACACATGGAAGGGCTTGTTGGCTGGTGGGCTTCCCTGTAAGATAGGATGGCAAGAACAGGGCTGTTTTTTCGGGGGTCCCCAAATGTTTGTATAGCAGGTCTTTTCTTGTGCTGGGCTGTTTAATTTCTCCACAAGATGGACCAAGGGTACGGGCCTGCCGTTCACTGTCCTGGGTACCCAGTGAGCAAGGGAACTTTGACAAAATCTTGTTTGCAGCCCTTGTCTGACCCCACCCCGAGCTGTGCCCTGGGGAACCCCTCTAGGTCCAGGTGCTCCAGTTCATTTTCTGCAGAGAGCGAACGCGTCTGTCTCCCAGGGCTGAGGATGTCCTGCCTGCAGGGGCTTGGGGAGGGGAGTGGGATCTTCCTGCCGCCTCTGCAGACTTCCCACCGGCCCTCCTGTTCACAGCCTCATCTTGAGGAGTGTGGTGCCTCTGACACCTGAGTGTCTCCCAGGTTCTGGGGCACAAATGGGAGCACTGTTGTTGTGAACTTCCTAACAGGTGCTGGGTTGCTGCTAGGTCTGTCCCCTTTGGCCATCTGCTCTCCCCCTGTTTGCTCTGTGGTCCTGCTCATTACCGTGAGCAGGACAGAGATGAGCACATCCATTCAGTTCCTTGTATTTGAGCAGAGGATGATGCTTCTTGCCTCCCTCCTCCCCCCTCCTCCCCCCTCCCCAGTACCCCTCCTCCACGCACCCCCATGCCCCTTCTCCTCCTCCTTCCTCCCTGCTCCTTCCTCTGTGCCCAGAGCTTTCTGTGCCCTGACAGGAGGCAGCATGTAACACAGAAAGGGGGGGATGAGGAGTCAGGAAACTGAAGTGTTCTACACGCAGATGGGGTTCACCTCCTGTCCTACTTTACCACCTCCTTAACTCTCCCCACCTGCTACAAACACCCCCAACGACCACATCACAACCCGCCTCACCTCAGAGCTTCATGTCTCCCGTGGCTGTCCTGTTCCTGCTCCCCGACACACACCCCGTTTTCCCTTGCATGTCCCTGAGCAGGTGTGAGGCCTCAAGGGTCACTCCCCACCTCTGTCGAGGGAGGTGCCTGGCCCGGGCAGCCTGGTTCTGGAGTTCAGGCTGCTGGGGCTGTGTATGACTGTCCCCCCTCATCCGGAGTGCCCAGTGCCCTGTCCCCTCCGCCTGCCTCCCCTAAGGCTCAGGCCTGTCACTCATTCTCCTCTGCTCTTGGCCCCTTGGACTCGGAGACCCTTCTCTCACGCTGTCCACCAGCACCCGCCCCCTGAGCCAGGTGGGGCCCCTCCACAGCCCATCCCTCCCCACTGTTGGCCTGAGCCATTCTCCAGGGCCCCCTTGCTGTGGCAGCTACAGATGCCCAGCTGGCCCTCTGCTGGGGCTTTGGTCACACTCGAGGGAACGTGGCCACCTCCTGGTCGGTGGGCACGCCATGGCTTTGCAAGAGAACAGGAAGGAATAGCTGGATAATTCCGTCCCCACTCATCACTCCCCACCCTCCCTCTCTCCCTCCTCAACGCCAGGACTCACCCAGTTATCCGGGGCAAAGCTCTGGAGGGTGACTTTGGCCCCGTGGAGTGATGACACTCATCAGCCGATGCTTCGGAAGCACTTTCAAGTGGCCACTGAGCTGTGGGAGGACAGGGCTGGGAGAATGTTCCCATTTCACAGATGAAGTGACTGAGGGCCCCAGAGACCCTGTGACTTATCCCTTGTCTTACAGAGGAGAGTAGAACCCCATCCTGACCTCAGGACTCACCTCTGCCAGTCTTCCTTCTGTACCCAGGCCTGGTAATTACTGATTTTTGGCTGTGGGGGTTCCTTGGTCTGGGGCCCCACAGGAGGGAGGTAATTACATCCTTCAAAGATGCCCTTAGTCAGCAGCTCCCCAGTCAGTCCCTGTGCCCAAGCCCAGCTCTGACCTTTGTCTGTCCTTCCCCATCGCCAGCCCACTGGGTACTTTGATTGGCTTCCTTTGTTTCTCTCTCTGGTTGGTGCTTCTGGCTGCATCTGGCTCGCACTCCCTCCGCCCCTCTCAGAGTGCCCGTAAATTCTGTTTATTCAGGCAAATGAGCCCTCAGTTATACAGGGCCAGGAAGGGGAAGCTTGCAAACGCCGCTCTGCCAGCCCTACCCAGCTATTAGAAAAGTCGGGCCCCCTGACTGGTGGGACGCTAGGCTGGGCCTTCATGTAGAGGGAGCACTACTGCCACTGGGTCCTCCTCATTCATGAGCACCTGTCTCAGTCACTCTGAGTCCCCACCCCCACCACCCCAGTCTGCTTTCCATGCAGCCAGCCCGAATTACCACGAGGCCTGTCTCCTTTGCGCACACACATGCTCAGCCCTCTTAAACATCTCAGGCTTCCTATGGCTTTTAGAAAAAAAGGCGGAACCTCTTACCATGACTTCCAAGGCTCTGCAGAGTCAACCCTGCCCACTCCCCTAGTCTCGTTTTGCACCCAGTTCTCTCTCTCCTTCTGCCCTTCCCAGGGCCTTTGCATATGCCCTTTCTCTACTTGAAGTGCCCTCCTCCCATGCCCCCGCCGGCCCATTTAGTTCTTACTTATCCTTCAGACTTTCTGGTCAGCCACCACTGCAGAGATGCCCTGTCCAGCCCTTCAGCAAAGCAAGGTCCGCACTCATGGTCATATAGTCGTGGTTGCTGGCACTTTTCCTTCAGAATACTTGCACAGTTTGTCACTGTGGTTGTCTATGATTATGTGATTGATGCTGGTCTTGCCCACTGGACTGGAAGCTCCATGGCAGCATGGGCCACTCTGTGGTCTGTCTTACTTTCCCCCACCACAGGGTCCCTAGTACCACGCATAGTAAGTTAGAGCTCATTCAGTATTTGTTAAATAATGATGATACTGGATGTCATCTGAAATCTCATGTCCCTTCAGAACCTCCCACCTCCCCTTCTCACTCTTGGCCAAGGGTGCTTCCTGCGCCCCTGGGCCCTTGGCTGTGTGTCCTATAGCACTGCGCCAATGTTTTTTTCATATAGATTGCCTGGTGATCTTCTAAAGAGGAAGGTTCTGATTTAGTAGACTGAGGTAGACTCCAAGATTCTGCCTTTTTAACAAGCTTCCATGGACCCATGCTGCTGGTCCAGGGACCACACATTGGCCTGGCCTGAGAGGTGGGGGCGCCAGGTCACAGCTGCTCAGAGGCCAAGTCACCACAGAAGGCATTGTTTGCACCAGGCACTGTCATTTTTGGTGCATTTGGCCCAGCCAGGCTGAGGACTGTTGCAGAACTAATCCAGATATGGGCGCAGGCTCGGCTCCTGCTCAGCTTGCATGCCACCCCTTGGACCTTAGCTCTGAACTAGGAGAGAGCTGTGGGTGGTGACACCTGGACACCTGGGTCAACCTGTGAATGACCCTCACACTGAAAGGGATTCCCAGATTCCCTTTGGTTTCCCTCTTTCCCTCATCACAAGTACCAGCTTAAAGAGGGAGGGTTTTTCTTGTTTCCTGATGCATGGGGGTGGACCTGGGTGAGTGTCCGGGGCTGTCAGAGCCACCCTGTGTGCCTGTTGCCTTCTCAGTGTCACCGTGGCCCTCGCGTTCATAACTAAAGAACTCTGATTTCCTTGCTTAGCCCTGTTCCCCTCCGCACATCTCCACCTGACTGACTCACGGGTCTTTTCAGAGCACGATTCAAGTGCCAGCCCTGTCATCTGGGGACAGCGGGCTGGGGGGTTAGAGAGCTTGCGCCAGGGCCTGGTAGGTTCCAGGTATGCTCTGCCAGCCCTAGGGGGTGCCCTCAGTCTTCCTTGGTGGGCCCCTGAGTTCTCTCCGGGGCCCCTGTCCAGCACTGACAGTCGGTGATTCTCCCGTGTCCTGGCTCTCCGTCCCGGAAGAAGTGAGGGGAGGGGAGAGCTGTCTGAGCCCCTGCCAGCAGGCGCCCGGGGAGCAGCAGCAGGCTGCTCTCCCGGGAAGGCAAGCCAAGCCCCCTTTGCCGTCTCTCCTTGCCCCATGCCTCCCGGCAGGTCCTTGGATGGCCGGCTGCAGGTGTCCCACCGGAAGGGGCTCCCCCATGTCATCTACTGCCGCCTATGGCGATGGCCCGACCTGCACAGCCACCACGAGCTTCGGGCCATGGAGCTGTGTGAGTTCGCCTTTAACATGAAGAAGGACGAGGTCTGCGTGAACCCCTACCACTACCAGAGGGTGGAGACCCCAGGTACCTGCCGCTGAGCACAGGCCCTGCAGCTGCCCGCACCGCCTTCCTCTCCCCCCGCGCCTGCCTCTTCTTCCCAAGGGAGGGTCTGCCGTGCCTCTGGGGGTGCGAGGGCCTTGGGGCCAGCCTGGCGGGGACGCTGACCTGCCTCTGCTCTGTCTCCTCCGGACAGTTCTGCCCCCTGTGTTGGTGCCCCGCCACACGGAGATCCCGGCCGAGTTCCCCCCGCTGGACGACTACAGCCACTCCATCCCTGAAAACACTAACTTCCCCGCGGGCATCGAGCCCCAGAGCAATATTCCAGGTAGGCCCATGGGCCGTGCGGGCTGGCCAGGGGCCGGGCACCCGGCAGCCCAAGCCTGGTCCCTCAGCCCGGTCCCTGTGCCCACCTCCCCGTGCACAGCGCTGGCCCCCGACTCCGAACCACATCCCTGTTGGGAGAGGACCCATGGCCTTGGCTCCCTCTCGCTAGTAATGCTTTTCTTGGCACGGAGGAGCGGCGGCGTGACCCTTCCGCCGGGCCTCGGTGCAGTCATTTATTTTGGAAGCGGAAATAGCAACGCTGTGTTTCTCTCACCGCCCTCGCGGCCGCCGGGACTGGAGCTTAGGCAGGATCCCAGGCGGCCTGGGGGCCTGCAGAGGAGGTTGGGGAGCCGAGGGCTGGGCGGCGAGTGCAGAGAACTGGCCCAGTAAGTAAGCCCGGTGAGGGTAGGACCTGGGCGGGGTTAGGCCCCGCTGGGATTTCACTGCCCCGGGAGAAGGGGCTCCACTGTCAAGAGTGCAGATGTTTTTAGAGGCCCCTCATTTATATGCAAATAACATGTGAATCACCAGTGCTCTGGCGTCCAGGAAAACTGCTTGGCAGCCCTTGGGCCAGTCGCAGCGGCAGGGGCTGGGGCTGCCTGGGCAGTGATCGTGCTGCGTTCCTTTCAGAATGTTCTTTGGATAAGCCTCTCACCCTGAGTGTACGGCCCCGAGGTTGACCACAGGCCTGCGCCCAGGGCTCAGAGTGTGAAGAGAGACCCACTGTACAGGTCTGGCCTTTTCAGATCCCTCCCGGTGGCGCAGGTCTCTAGGGGGCAGGTCTCCCACCTTGTTCATTCAGCACACCTTAGAGAGCTAAGCTGGGGCGGAGGGAGGGTCATTCAGAGAAACAGATCACAGTCTCTGCTGTCACTGAACTTGCAACCCCCTTGGCCAGCTGAAGAGGTGTCATCCCCTAAAGAGATGCCCAACAGATCTGCACAAGTGTAGACAACAGAGGTAGAGGGCAGTTTGAGGTGGTCGGCCTTCAGCAGAGAGTGGATGAGACTGAGGCAGCTCTACAGCCTCCCTGGAGGGGTGGGAGGAAACCTGACCTTGAAGGACGGGAGAAGTTAGCCTGGCAGAGGCTCTCTGAGCAGGTCTTTCAGACCTGGGAGTTGGGATGGTGGGGATGAAGGTGGTGATGATCGGGTGGGGAGGCGGAAGGGCATAGGGACAGCAGGGTGCAGGAGCTGGCGCCCTTGCTCTGAGGCGCAGGGTTCCTGCAGCACCTGCTACAGGTGCAGTCGGCTTAATTTGTGCCGAGTTTGCAGAGGGGTTGCAAGAGCCAAACCACGGATGCCATTTAATGAACCTCCTTCCTTCTGATCCCCAGAAACTCCACCCCCTGGCTACCTGAGTGAAGATGGAGAGACCAGCGACCACCAGATGAACCACAGCATGGACGCAGGTCAGGGTCTCTCACGGATGTGCTCTTAATCAGGACCAAATGCCTTCTCCCTCCCTCCCTCCCTCCCCCACTCCAGTATTTATAGAGCAGCCGCTATGTGCCAGGCACTGTGGCAGGTGCTGAGGGTCAGGAGGGGCCTGAGCTTCTCACAGCTTCTGGGGCACACTGACAAGACACCCAGCAGCTACTGTGCCATCTCACTTCCACCCTGATGGAAGGTGCATCAGGGGCACAAGGCAGGGACCCTAGCCCAGCCTGGGGAGGTGGCAGTGTTGGGTTTTTTTGAGCTGAGTCTTGGAGGTGTGTGGGTGTCAGCCAGGCCATCAGGGCAGGCCAGGGGGTGTGCCAGGCATGGTCAGGAGAGCCTGTTGCAATCTGGGGACCCTGAGAGCTCAGGGTGGCTGGAGCACACTCCTCCAGAGTGGGGGACAGGAGGCCCTGACACTCACAGCTTCAGTGTGGCTGGGGGCTGATGGAGAGCATCTGTGCCTCCAAGAGAGGTTGCTGGCAGTGGGGTGGAGGGTGGGCTCGCACCCCTGAAATAGCTCAGGAGTCTGAATGGAGGCAAGGTCTCCAATGGCCAGTGGAGGCCCCTGAAGCATCAACTGTGTAGTGTCCAAATGGGATGGATATGTTCCTGCCGAGAGGGACCCAGCCCGGTTTGTCTCCAGCCACGTCTCCAAATGTTCCCCTGTTACTTGTTATGGAACCGAATTGGCTGCAAACCAGTGGCTTCGTGCACCGAACCCCAGCTGCCACATAGGCTATGTACTGCGCCTGCCGTGTGTGGCTGGGTGAGGAGGGGGAGGGAGCCAAGCAGAGGCCCTGGTCCATGGATGGCGGGCATGCCCTGTACTCACACAGACGCTAGATGCAGTGGAGACCAAGAGCCACCTGGCCTTGCACACAGCCCAAGAGAGTGTGCAGTTCCTGAAAGGCTGAAAGAGACGTGCCTGTTATTGTAAACGTAGTTGCCTGATACCTAGCCCGGGTGTTGTGTGGCACTAGTGGGTTTAGCACATACCTTGCAAACACACATCCCTAGATACGTGGCTGGCAGTGTGAACCCAGCCGAGATGCATTGAAGACCTGCCAGTATTCGATGCCAAGTGACCACCGCAAGCCTGCAGCCATTAAATTCTGGCATGGGAAGCGGCCAGCTAAGCAGCAGCTCTCTGGATGCTGTATTTCTTCTCTTCATGTTTGTAGAACCATTACTGTTATAAAGAAATGAAGAGTGTCCGTGTGTGAGATGAGCAGCCACCTTTTCTCCCTCTCAGCTCTCGATTCCTCCCCCTCCTCTCTCTCTTTTCTGCCCATTTTCTCTGTCCTCTCTCTCCACTTCTCCTCCCATCAGCCTACTTGCAGAGCCCTGCTGAGTATATTAGTGATTTATCCAAAGTGGACACTGGCTTTGTGGACCCCAGCCAGCCAGTGGATGTCTGGGTGGGGTCTTCCATTTATTCAGTTCTTCACTCAAAGTTGTGCATTTGGAAACCTGTCTAATTGCTTATAGACTTGGCTTCCCTGTCAGCTGAGCTGTGGTTGTGTCTCAGTTGGGGTGCAAGGATCACCTTGTCTAGCCGTGTGTCTCCCCTGACATGCACACGTTCCCTTCAGACCAGTGAGAAGGCCCCACCACCTTCCTGAGTCTTCATGATTTGGACCACCACAAAGTAAGAAACCAGCATTTACTGAGTACCTACTATGTGCTAGTCATAGTTTAGGCATTTTTGTATTTCCACAAATCACACAGAAGATGGCATTAGCCCCATTTTTACCTCAAAGAGGTCAAACCACTTCATCAAAATCCCATAGCTAACACATGCTGGCATGTCTGAGCCCCATGGCTGAACCGGAGGCCCTGCTTCCTACCCAGGACTCTTCTACAGCCCTTGGTAGGTGGCAGCTAGGGGACAGAAGGAGATCTCGGGCTCATCCCTGGTCCTCAGGGAGCCTACAGCAGAGCTGGAGCACAGGAGCAGACCACTGCTAACAGCTCCGGGCAGCATGTGCCCGGGGGGCCCGGCCGTGAGGACTGACCACTAGCTTGCGGCTGGAACTGGCCTTAAGGGGCTGTTAGTGAATGAATAATTCCCCATGGCCTGTGGGTCCAGGGACAACGGAGGGAGAAACCCAGTGCTGCCCTGCGGAAAGGCAGCCACTTGGGTTTTTGGAAGGCTAGTGCCATGTGGGTTTTTCTTTCCCTTGCTTCAGGGACTGTGGGGTGGAGAGGGAAGGTGAGGGAGTAGGAGAGATTGGGTGGGCTTGGACGTGTTCCCACGGGCAGCATCATGTCTTGCACAAAATGTCAGTCTGGTCACCGAGCTGTGGGATTTCTGAGGCAGCTTGGTGAGTCTCCAGAAACCTGGCAAAGGGCTGCATTGGTGTTCCCAGGTACCTGAGCCACTGAGAACTGTGACTGGTGAGGTCTGGGCAGCCACAGGCCCCACTTCTGTGGGAGGAGGCTCTTTGCTGCCTGGGTCTCTGGGCAGCTGGGGAGAGGGCCTTCCCCGCCCCCTCTCATTTTCCTGGGAGCAGGTTACCGGGGCGGGTCAGCGTACCCTAGCTGGGAACTCGGCAGCCCTGTGCAGTGGGTCTTGGTCAGGATCACCACACCATCGAGTCATGGAACATCCACTCATCCATTCATTCTGCAGATGAAGAACCAGGGCCCTGGCAGGGAAGGACAGGCGGCACACGGATTAGGCCTTCTCCTGGGCCGTGGAGGCTTGGCTCAGGGATTTCTTGCTGCAGTACTGAGCTGCTCCAACCTGATGCAGGTGCTCGGTGATACGGCTCTCTGGGCCAAGAATCTTTCGTGAAGGCTCACAACTGTGTCTCACCTCACAGGTTCTCCAAACCTATCCCCGAATCCGATGTCCCCAGCACACAATAACTTGGGTAAGTATCTCTGCCTCCATCTTACTGCAGCCCCTGCTAGCTGCAGCCCTGGCTGGTGGCCGGTGTGGGGAAAGGGGGCCTGAGGATGAGACTCCTCCTGCACCTCCCACCACCATTGGCCCAGCTCCGCCCTTCAGGTTTCTGGTTACAGTGATCCTGGGGTCACCCACGGAAAGGGGAAACCTGAGAACAGTGGTGGCAGGAAAGGCAGCCACATGCCAGGTTTGTATTTCCCCTGGGCGGCACTTAGACGTGAGTGAATGAACATCCCTCAAACCTTGTGTTCGGGAGGTGAGGGTCTGTGGTCAGCCCAGCATACCTGTGTGGTTCGAAGCAAGGCCATGGGCAGCAGTATGGAGTCCAGCCCCCTCCGACTTTCCTAGACTTGTTCCAGACACGCTTACTTCAATTTTATCTGAGCATTTCATCTTAACAATTATGTACTTCTTATTTGGAACAGCAACAGAGAAGGAATCAGAAAAAAAAAAAGGCACAGTTGCCCTTAATCTCTGTGTCCTGGCACACTGTTTTTGTTCTGTCACAGTCCTTCTGATGTCTGGGGATCAGGCATGTATATCTGGGCCTTGCCAGCTGAGATCAGAGTGTATATCCATTTTCTCATTCTTCTCCTTTATGCTATTTTGTAAACACACTTCCATATTTAGATCCTCATTTATCATCCTGCGTTTATCGCATACTGTTTTGGAGCAGCTGGACCCTCGTTTCCATGACCATCCCTCAGTTGTTGGATTTCTGGGTCAGTTTTTCAGAAATTCGCTTTTCTATTCCAGGAGTGGCCTTCAGCTCCAGTGTGGGGCCTGCAGAAGGGCTCAAAGCAAATGAAATCTCCATTCAGTTTCTATCGAGGGGTATTTTTTATGTGCTGCTTTGGTCGATTTTAGAAAAATGTGGGTTTGATTTTGTTTCCGCTTTTATTGCTGAGGCTCAACTTGTGGCTCAGGGAAAGGAAGAATTAACATCAGGGCTCGTTGTATCAGAGCGGGTTGGCCTGGCCCCTGTTCCAGATCCCGGACAGGTAGCCTCAGGTGAAGACAGTCGTCATTTGGAACGTGAGGAGATGCCTGAAAAGCTTTTAGTACAGGCTGAGAAGTGGGCGGCGTGGAACGGGGCTTGGGCGCGTCTGTCCTCACATCTTTGTAAAATAGCGCTGTGAGTACTGAGCTTTGCCAAGGGAAGGTCAAATTCCCGATGTGAAGGACCGGTGGAGTCATTAAAAATGAACTCTGAAGGCTAGAAGCTGCACTGACATTTGAGAAGTTAAAGGCTATGATTGTGAATTTGACTCTGAGCTTTTAGCTGGTTTAGATTTAGTTCCTGAGCCATGTTATCCCACCACAGCCAGGGCCACACTTCCAGGCACCGAACTTTAGAGCAGGCACCTGCCTTTGAGGCCCCACTGCCTGACCCAGGGATTTGGACCAGAAGCTGGTGGCTTGCCCTGACTATGCCTCTAAATTGTGTGCGCCAGTAAGGCAGGCTGGTTCTTGCACTTGGACCCCAGGCAAAGGCCCTGTTGACACGGTTCTCCCTTCCCTGCTGACTCGCTCCTCAGACCCCTCATCTGTGAGGGTGGGGAATTAGGTTATTTCTTCCAAAGGAAGGAACAGCCCATGAGCCTGGGGGGCAGAGCGTGGGTGCCACTCTGCTGGGAAGATCTGAATGGGGGAACGAGTCAGGGTTGGGACTCACAGTGAGACACGGGCGCTGACAGGCCCGGCTTCCTCTCTACTTGATGAGCCCTGGCACCCCCGCCTTCAGCCATTCAGAACTGCTGGCTTCATCCCTACCCATAGCATCTCCTAGGCTCCTGGCATCAGAGCTGGAAGTTGACGAGATGCTGGTGGTGATGACGGTAAACATTTCTTGAGCTATTTATTGACTGAGTGTTGTTCAGAGCGCTTCATGTGCTTTAACCTGATCTTCATAACAACTGTGTCAGGGAGGGGTAAGTAAGTTTCCCTTTTACAGGTTAGGCAACCAAGGAACAAACTGGTTAACTAGTTCGGCACAAGGCACACTGCTAGTAAACAGAGAAGCTGGCTCCGAACTCGAGCCTTCAGGCCCCAGGGCATGTGCTTGCTCCGTCAGCATCAGGACACTGCCTTGATGGCCGTAGACCCACTTCCCATGCCCCCGTCTCAGGCGAGGAAGGTTCAGGAAAGGCATTCACTAACTTAGAGTTGGGTATGTCAGGTCAAAGGCCCAGCGTCTCGTACGGCCACTGGGTGGGAACCCTGCCTGCTTGCCTGTTTCTTCCTTACTCACTCACTTCCTGCCTGATGCTGTGTGCCAGGCAGGTCAGGGATTCGAAGATGGATCACAGACCCTGCCATCAAGGTGCTTCAGAACTTACTGGAGTAAATAAGGCAGGAGTACAAATAATTCTAAAACAAGAGGTAGGTGCAGTGGAAGTACCCCAAGGGCTCAAGAGGAGGCAGTGATGACATTCTGGGGGGTGCAGGGTGGGGACGTGCATCCAGGCTTGCCAGTGTCTCCTACATATTCATTCAGTCAGGCAGCTTTGCTAAGTCCCTAGCGTGTATTGATGCTGGGGGTCCAGAGCTGGGGAGACACAGGCATTCACAGTCTGGTGGAGTGGCAGCTGGGGGTGTCTGTGTCCACCTGTATGTGTTGTGCCAGGTGCCCAGAGAGCGAGCACGGGAGGAGCTGAATAAGCCAGGGAGAGAAGTGCTGGATGGGGTGGGAAGACCTCACAGTTGCAGTGATGTGTGTGAGCTCGACCCCAAAGGACAAGTAGGCAGAGAAGAAGGGAAGGACATTGCAGATGGAGGGAATGGCATGAAAGGGCAGGGTGGCTCTGAGGGCAGTTGGCGTTGGGTTACTCGGCAGGTCGGGAGGGACAAGGGCGACGATGAGGGGGCTGGTGGGCTCTGGAAAAAAGAGCCCAAAGGCTGCATGGTTTGGCCCTAATTGTCTACAGAATAAAGCCATTGGTGAGTTTTGAATTGGGAGTGCAGGGTTATCTGATGACAGCTTCATAAAAATTAATATGACCACTGTGTGGAATTTAAATTCTAGGGGAAATGACTGGAGGCCAGAAAGCCCACTTGGAAGCTGTTGCACCGAAGGAGGCTGCAATGAGTGCTTTAGAGAAATGCAGTGCAGCTGGGAGACGCGTCTGCACATCAGGGGCCTGAGTCCGGGTTTCTTGGCCGGCTTTAACTGGGAAGAGGCCTGGTACCTGGGCAGGACACCCGGGAGCTGGGACAGGTTTGGGTTAGGAGGTGACAGAGGATGGAGCCGCCTAGTTGGGAGGGAGGCCGCGGCTGGACGTGCAGATTTGGAAGCCATCAGCACGTGGGACAGCCTTTCCCCAAGTGGGGTCTGAGAGCATTTTGCATCAAATGAGCTTGGGAAGCCTGTGCTGTACCCGCTCCTGGGGCCTCCAGGGCACGCTCATGGTAACGCTGTTTGAGCCAGCACTTTACTGATAGAACACTTTTCTTTCACAGCCCCATTCACCACCCCTCGTTCTCATTCTGGAAGCACTGACAAAGGTTGGGCGGAAGTCGTGGCATGGAGGAGCTCAGTGGGGAGGGAGACCCAGTCCAAGAGGGAAGGAGGGCCAGAGACAGACCGATGGGGCCGCCAGCCCGGGGCAGAGGCTGAGGGCCAGGTGGAGGCTGGGCCTGGGCGCTGAAGGACCGCACGCCGGGGGCAGGTCCTGCAGAGACGCAAAATGAGACTTGAGAAGGGGCTCTTGAGTTTGGCCTCCGGGTTCAAGGGCATCCCTTAGGGAGCAGCTGTGGGTGAGGTGGGGGCTGAAGTTGGTCAGCAGCAGGGGAAGGGCAGCGGAAAGCTGGGGGAGTGGAGGCAGCAGCCTCGACGTTCTTCATGGCCAGTGTGCCCCCAGTGGTGGGATGGCAGCAGGCACACAGCAAGTTCTTCCCAGAGAAGATGGGACATCTGATTATTTCTTGTAGGGAAATTATTACACAAAAAAGAAATAAGAGTGCAGGACATCTGGCTCCTTCCTCATTTCCTCCCCACTCCAGGCAAAAGACTGAGCCTCCTGCCACAGTAAAGCTACTTGTGGTGCCTCGTCCAGAGCCCAGATGGGTGAGTGAGACCAGCTCAGCTTCTCACCAGAGGCAGGTTCTGGGGAGACCCAGGGCCTTTGTTTTGCAGGGAAGGGACGCAAGCAGGTGATGTTCCTGTTATTACACAACGGGCTAGTGAGTCACCTGGAATTTCCTAAGCATTTAAGTCAGAAGGATTGGGGCAAATGGGAGGAGGAGAGAGGTGAAGAGAGAGGAAAAAGATAACAAGCTGGATCCTGCGGGTGAGTAAGTTGTCCTCTGCTTCAGCGTGAGACATTTTGGGAGGGGCCTTGACCGAGGGAAGTGAGGAGGTACCAGGAGTGCCCTGGGGCAGCCTCTGGGCTGGAATTGAAGGAGGTGATGGTTTTCCGGAGTGCCTAGGGACAGGCAGCACCTTTCTGTCCTGCCAGGAGAGAGGGCCAGGGGTGGCAAGGCAGTGGGAAGACCCCTGACCCCTGAGAAAGGGCGGAGTCAGGGTTACAGGCCCGACTTGGTTCCAAGCATCTCCATGCTGCTGCACAAGACTTTTCCCAAGGCTTGGGCAGGCTCTAGTCTCCCATAAGCTTGGGCAATCACAGGCGTCTTACTGGCAGGAAGTCGGTGTCATCTGTACCCTGACACTCCCAAGGGTCCAGCTCTCAGACTTTGCCACTGTTCTGGGTTGGGGTAGACTGGCCCTAGGCTCAAAGAACATGGCTTCTTTCTGTGCACACTGTGGTTTGTTGTCTAATACTTAATGAGATAGGTTGAAATCGATGCCCCAGAACACAGCTGGCTTGGGTCCGAAGGAACTAACTCTCAGGTGCACAGGTGGATCAGACACCAGGGGCCAGTTCTGCATGCGGTGTGAGGGAATGTTTCACAGCCACCTAGCTGAGCCCTGAAGGTTGACTGTGTGCAGGTAAGGGAGACACAGGCAGCCCAGGCAGTGAGAACAGCAAGGACTGAGGTGTGGCGGTGTGAAGACACATGGGGACTGGTGTGGGTGTCTCCCTGGCTGAAGCAGAGCTGCCTTCCCCGGGAGAAGGGGGACAGAGGAAGGCAGCTCATTCCTGTTTTGACCTTTACCCTTGCAGCCTCTATGCTCCAGCCTTTGCCTGCGCCCTGCTTTCGATTTATAGTAGAAAGTTAATCCCTACTCTGGCCTCTCCCCTTTCCTTTACCAGATTTGGATTCTTGCACATGGTTTTAATAGGCATCCTTAATCCAAGTGTTGCCTTCTGGGTTTTACTCTGTTCTCTTTTCCTTAAACAAAATAGAAAGTCTATGCCAGCTTGGAATAGGGTTCAAAACTGCAGCCAGCCAATGCGTTAAATGCTCCATGCCCCTCGAGAAGTCTGGCCGACACCATACCAGCGGCAGCAGGGGGCTGCGAATGGCTGGAGCTGACGGTTCCTGTGTCACCAACACCTCTGCTCCAGGAAGGGTGATTAGCCCTGACGCAGCAGTCAGCCAGGAGCAGGGCTGTCTGATGGGAAGGTTCTGGGCACACTCCGTCGTCTGCCATACCAGTTGTACCTAGTCCTTGGCCCTAGAGAAGCAAAACCCCTCTCCCGGGGGGCAGGGCGTCTCTCCCCTGGAGAGCTGTCCTCTCAGAGGAGCCTTTGAATGGCATGTCTTCAGGACCTTCTCAAGACACAACTTAATGAGAAATTGCTCCTGCATTTGTTGGGAAACTCTTGATATTAAGGCTGGCTAGCTGCTTGGCTGGCTTGATTGATGTGGGAGGAGAGGTTGCTACCTGACAGGTTTCTTTTAAGATTTAGTGCCAGGACAAGCTCTGATTCCCCTGCAGAACTAGTAAGCATTTTCTGTCCATAATCAGAGCCATATAGCATATGATGCTCCCATTTTGCCTTGTCTGCTAGGAAGCTCAGAGCCAAGCTGAGTACTCTTTCAGTAGCCATCCCCTCATTGTTAACTTGTTTATAGATTTCTCCTCTCCAGGGTTCTGATTTTTTGTTACTCTTACAATTAACCATGGTGTGGATAGGTCTTTCGGAGGGAAAGAAATGAGAGCTATGTGCAGTTTAAAACTAAAATGCCATCAAGGCAGACCCCACAGATGGCGGCCATGCCTTTTGGTCTGCGGCTGCTCGTGCAGAGGCCCTTGGGGAAGCAGCTGGCGGGTGATGGGAGGGAGAAAGGTGCGAGGCAGGGCTGGCTTCCAGTTGTTTGCAGAGGATAGTAAATTCATGACTATGCATTCCAGTTCCTTCCTGCTTCTGAACACCAAACAGCTCGTCCAAACAGCACTTTCTGAAATGGCAGCCTTCAGACTTCACCTTGGCCTGGCCGCACTGCTCCCTCCAACTAGCATCTTTTTAATTATGTGTCAGGTCCTGCGTCTGGTGTTTTCCACCACACTGTCCAGCGTGTGTCTTTGAGTGGCAGGGATGTTTGGTTAAGGGCTCAGATCTTCTTGGGAGGGCCTTTTGGGCTAGGACCCCAGCTTCACTCTGATTCTATGATGCCCTGAAGCCCCCACTTTCCCAAGCACAGTGCTGGTACCATGTTACCCAACAGGTGGCCTTCAGGTTTTCTTCTTTTGATGGGTAGATGGTGTTTCTAGGAGCCTAGGTCTCTCTCTTCTGCCTGGACTAAACCCAGATGGTGCTGGACAAGGCTTCCTAATTTGAGAATAAGGACTCTGTTCTGTTCTTCACTTTGCAGGGGAATCCAGGGACAGGCCAGGTCAGCCATGGCTGCCTCTTCAGGCTGACCCCTGCCAAAAGCACAGTGACCTAGGTGGTCTGTCTTAGATGTCTTCTAGTGCACTGCAGTCATTGTTCAGACTAGGAGCTGAGATCAGAGAGGGAGGTTATGTTCCCAAGGTCACACAGCAAGGTCAGCAGATCTGCCCCTGGACAGCGGCGGCCAGCAGCCCTTCCCCAGTACCTCTTGGCTATGACATGTTGCCTGACCACATTGAATACTTGGATTGCACTTGGATTTCTGGAGGTTTTTTTGTTTTTTTTTTTTAAAGGTTTCCAAAGCAACATAGCTCACATTAATGACCACATTGTTTAGAATATAGCTTATCTCATTGGAATGTCATAGCATAGGGCAGAGCCAGAGCCGGATGTGGCTGACACGGCTCAACCCAACCTCAGGGACACGGGCCCTGGGCCATGGTCGCTCCTGCCCTGTCACTCCACCTTCCCGGTTAGAAGGAGCTCAGAACCCCTGCCTTCCCTCGTCTTCCCTGGCTCCGCCCTGGGAAGCGAGCGCAGGGGGAAGGAAGCTTTGTCGCTCTTGCAGTGGCGATCAGGACAGGAGGAGGTTCTCAAGTTCACGTAATTAAAGTTACTATAATTGTTCACACCATTTATTGAGTGCTCGAGGAGTGGCCTGCGCCTCATATGAATGATCTCAGCCCAGCCACAAATAGCATCCAGTGGTACAGAACAGAAGATTCTCCACTCGGGCGGCTGGGGGTGGGGGTGTGGATCTGAAAGCCGGAGCTGAGCTGGCTGCTCACAGTCGCACAGCTGGTCTGCGCCTGCGCAGAGAGTGAACCCCAGTCCCTCTGGCTCTGCAGCTCATCCTCCAGGACCTGGTTAAACGTCTCGTGCAGTGATTTTCAGCCAGGAGATATTTTGCCATGTGGCAATGTCTGGAGACATTTTTTATTGTCCCAGCTTGGAAGGGTGGGATGGATACACGCTCCTGGTTTCTAGTGGGTGGAGGCCCAGGGGGCTGTTAAATATCCTGTCTTGTCCAGAATCCATCTGCCATCAAAGAATTATCTGGCCCCAAATGTCAGTGATGCCAAGGTCGAGGAACCCGATCCAGGTGTCCTAACCCTCCAGCTGACGTTTTTTGGGTATGTGTTGAGTGCAGGGGGGCTTCCAGTCTGCGCCTTCTCCCTTGTGGGGCAGCTATCTCTTACCCTTCAAAGGGATCAAGGATCGGAGGCACAGACCCCAGCAGGAGATCGGGGCCCTGTGCCCTGCAGGGCGCTCCCAGGCCTCTCCCAGAACAGCTTCTGATTCCTCCCTCTTGGGCTTTACACACTTTCAGAGGTCTGGTGAGCAGAGGTGGCTGGTGGGTTCTGGTTGCAAGAAGTTGCCTGGTAGGCAGTGAGCAGGAGTCGCGGGCTAGTGCTAAGATGTGGCCTGCTGAGCCCTTCCCGGCCGTCTCCCCGGCTCCCAGAGGGATGCCGCCAAAGTAACCAGTGGCCCCACATCAGATCCAGAGAGAGTGATCCAGGCTGGAGGTGTGAGACGGAGGAATGAGAATAAGCAGACAACCCCCTGATTCCCAGCCAACCAGTGATTCTCAAGTAGGCAGTATGCAAGCTGCAGCAGGACTCAGCTTCCAGCCTGGGTGGGAGCAGTGCAGTGCAGAGGTACAGCCGGAGGGGCTGGGCGGAGTGCTGGGGGTCCTGGTAGGGCGCTGTGGCCCTGATGCCAGTGAGGGTGACGAGGGCCTGGCCCAGGGCTCGAGCGCCAGGCTGCTGAGGTGAGAGGGGATGCACGACAGAGGGAGGGGGGTCAGGAGCCTGGAATGGCTGCAGGTGACAGGCGGCCAGGGGAGTCACAGGAACGGTGATGTGGGATCATGGGAGGGGAAACCTCTATTTCAGGGGTTCCCAACTCTTATGAGAAAGAGAACCGACCCCTCAAAGATGGCATTTTTGCTTTGAGGAGCCCTTGGTTGAGGCTACAGACTGACCACTAGGACAAATTCAGAATTTGCTTTAGATGAGTCGGTCTCTGCCACCTCAATAGCATCTGGACACGTTTGGAAGACAATCTGTAATAAGAGACGTGGTCCCATGTGGTCACTGCGCTGGCCTTGTCATTTTTCAGGCTTGGATTCTGCTGCTCGGCAGGCTAGGAGTTCGCCTCCGACCAGGCAGAGCCCAAAGCTGAGTGCCTTTTTCAGGGCAGAGGTCAGCATGGGCTCCTTGGGGGACCTTGGAGAGGCCAGGAAGGGGCCGTGTAGGTAGGGCAGCCCTGGTCGGTGCCTGGCCCTCCTCAGGGTTGGCCCAGCACCTCTTTGAAGACTGCTTCAACCCAAGACCAGCCAGGTGGCCAGGGCCTCGATGAGCTAAAACTACAGGAGAAGTGGTGAGGCTGGTGGAACGCTTCTCCCAGCACCTGTGTATTTTGTCCCATTGGATTCTGCAAGGTCCAGACCATAAAAGGCATGAGGGCAGGGGGACAATAATATCCTCTGAGAGGTAAAGACACCATCTTCTGGAGCACCCAGGGGGCCCCACAGAGGAGCCTGAGTCCCGGGGCCCCCCTGATCCAGGGCCCTGGCCTGTCTCCTCAGACCTGCAGCCCGTCACCTACTGTGAGCCGGCCTTCTGGTGCTCCATCTCCTACTACGAGCTGAACCAGCGCGTCGGGGAGACGTTCCATGCCTCGCAGCCGTCTATGACAGTGGACGGCTTCACGGACCCCTCCAACTCGGAGCGCTTCTGCCTAGGGCTGCTCTCCAACGTCAACAGGAATGCGGCGGTGGAGCTCACGCGGAGGCACATCGGTAAGGGGCCACGTTTCCCCAGCGCAGCCTCTGCACAGAACCCGCCGGCCAGCCTGCTGGGAACTGGGGAGAGGACTCACTCCCCTGCCCCTACCCCAAACTCAGTTTGCCTTGTGGAGAGGCCAGATGGGTAAGAGCTCAGGTTGCTTGGTCATTTCCACTCAGAGGCACAGACCATCTCTGAAAATTTGAAAGCTACAGAGGAAAACACTTCATTTAAGGGGATAAGAGAGGGAAACCTATGAGAAAGGCAACATATACAATTCTCTTAGCAAAAATACTGTGAAAGTCCTGACAGGTGGATAAGGAGGTGGTCAGTCTTGGAGGAGATCCTTTATATGTTCATTTCCTAGATGATCATTCTAGGAAACTTAGAAAAGATAGAAGGGCGAGAATTGCCTGCTGCCAGAACAGCACAGTGCTAACATTCAAACAGCCAGAACGCAGTGAAAGCTCACTTAGTTAAGGGAAGATGAAACTGTTGTCTGTGTTACTTGGTTTGCTCATAAAATTACCATGCTAAGGACACTCACACTTTTGCCATCCAAAGTTACCTAGTAGGGCCATAGCCGTGGTGTAGAGGGGAATTCTCAGACGCTGTCTGGAGGTCGGTCCAGGGGCTCCCGGGCGGACCCTGGGTGGGCACCAGGGGGCCTGGGCCCACATGAAACGGAATACTGCTACTCTTGCCTGTCTTGGGTGTTCATAGATTTCACCCAAGAATTTTTAAGAAGTTTGTAAGCCGTGGGTCTGGGCTGGTATGCTCATTTCCCAGGGAATAGCCTGATGCCCAGGGAGGAACAGAAGCTGCTCAGGGAGTGTGACACAGTTGGTGACCCAAAGCCCCCTGCCGCTGAGCTCATATCCTTCCCAGCCTCCCCGTTTGTTTTACTTTAAGAAAAAAATGCTGATTCTAGGTGGCATGCACAGCTGTTTACTTACTCTCTTTATATATGAAAAAGTATTTCAAAAATGACCAAAACAATCTTTGGTAATTTTATTTCTGTCGACCTGGGTTTTCCCACCTCCACCTCTGCCTGCTGCTCTTGACCACGTGATGCAGCAGCCCCTCCATGCGGAGCCCGGGCCTGCCAGCACCTGTCACCCTGAAAGCCGTGACACATGAAGTCCTATAGCACCGAACCGAGAGAGAGATGGGGAGTAGGGAGAGGTGGGGCAGCAGTGGGGCGAGGAGACGGGGAACCCCAGTGGCCTGTGGGTTGCTCTCCCGGTTTCCATTGCACTTAATGTCGTGTCCGTGACCTCTGGATCCATCTCCCAGCCCTTTGGGCTGCCTCCCCAGAACTGGGAACCAGAGACCTTCCAGGCAGAAGCCAACATCTCCTGGCTGAGCAGAGAACTCATTGTCAAGAGCATTTATGTAACTGCTTGAATTGCAGAGCCAATTTAAAAATAATTTCTGTCCATCTGGAGTGGATTGAAGACATGAAGGAAAAGTGAATGATGTAAACCTATGGAGAATTTTAGAAAAAAGCATGGAGGGGAGAGAGGGCCAGGGGGTGGCATTCATCCCTGCAGCGAGGGCCTGGGGGGGTCTGCTGCCTCAGGGGGAGCAGGTCACAATGGCTTTCCGAACAGTGGGGCGGGAAGGGGCCGAGCAGAACAGTGACAGCTGTCGCTCATCAGGAGCTTACTGTGCGTCTCCCAACCACCCTGGGGGGCTGTCACCCCCATCTCAGACTGACTGCAGCCCAGCCGAGGCCCAGCGGCAGAGGCCGTCCCTGAGATCTACCTGGTGCTCCTTCCTCACCCCCGCTGCCGCCCCAGCTTCAGGAAGCCAGCATCACCTGTCAGTTCCCCTGGCTGGGTTTAGGCTTGGGCCTGGGTCCCGTTTGCCTGGTGAAGCTTGCAAAACAGCAGTCACTTGGAGCATCAGCTGCCTCTTGGCACCTCTGCTAGCCTCAGCCGGCCCCGGGGCCATCGTGTGTGGGCCAGAGGCCCTGCTCCAGCCTGACCCGCATCTCCGCAGGGCGAGGCGTGCGGCTCTACTACATCGGAGGGGAGGTGTTTGCAGAGTGCCTCAGTGACAGCGCTATCTTCGTCCAGTCCCCCAACTGTAACCAGCGCTATGGCTGGCACCCAGCCACCGTCTGCAAGATCCCACCAGGTAACCCGCCCCTGCCTTGAAGGCTGCTCTCTGCGGCGCATGCCTGTGGTGCAGGAGAGGTCTCTTCTTTCTTACATTTTCTCCTCACCCACGTCTGCGCTGCCAACCTGGAGGTGCTGTGCCTGAGTTTTCTCTGTGCCCAGCTGCCTCTCTGTGCTCTCCCTGGACCTGCAGGAAGCAAGATTCAGCATGAGACAGATCTGCCGATGTCCTGTGTGTACCTGCTCCCTGCCCTGTGTGCAGAGATGCTCAGGCAGTTTCCTTTTGTCCTTCCACAAACACACACAGCACGCAGACCACTGAGCAGGGTGCTGTGGGGGCACGGAGGGGTGCATGAAGCCCTGTCTCCACAGACCTTACAGACCCCCTGGTGTACAAGACAAAGGCACAAAATGGGCTTAATACAAGAAAAATTGCCAGGCACTGAGCAAACAGCACAGATAAGGTGCTCTCAGATGTTGGAGGGGGGAACTCATTCAAGTGTCGGGATGGATCAGGGAAGGCTGCGTGGAGGAACAGGCATTTGGGCTTTGAAGGATGCATATGTATTAAGCACAGGGTGGTGGTAGGGTGAGGACCATGAGGGTGTTCCAGGCAAAGGCCTAGACGTGACAGAGGGCAGAGCATGTCTCAGTGGCACTTTGGCTGCAGGAGAGGCTGTGTGAACAGCAGGGGAAATGTTTAGAAAGCGTGACGGGACTATGACGTGAGACAGTTGTGCTTTTAATCCGGGGAACTGCTAGAGGTTTTCTGAACGGGGCTGATATATCCCACCTGTACTCCAAGAAGGGGTGTCAGGCTGTATTCCAGAGGGTGGCTTGGACAGGACCAGGCCTGGGCAGCAAGACATGACGGGACTATGACGTGAGACAGTTGTGCTTTTAATCCGGGGAACTGCTAGAGGTTTTCTGAACGGGGCTGATATATCCCACCTGTACTCCAAGAAGGGGTGTCAGGCTGTATTCCAGAGGGTGGCTTGGACAGGACCAGGCCTGGGCAGCAAGACCAGGCAGGAGGCTGATCCCATCGAAGGCCTGTTTACTTAGAAAACGGAGGCAGAGGGCCTGAGCCAAAGCCCACTTCTCACCCGCACACAGCCCCTGGGCCTGCAGCCACAGCGTGCAGGCTGTGACTGACGGACAGAGCGGGTGGCTGAGTCTGGCTGCTGCCTCTGGTGCACATGGAGCATGTCTTTCCTGCCTGCTGAGTAGCAGATGACAGTGGAGCTGTGGGGCCAGGGGCAGGGTCAACTTAAGAATGCAGAAAGTGTGAAATGGCAACAGTGCTGTAGTTTCCAGAGCGCTGTGTGGTTGCGTTTACAGAGTACATTTTTATCTTTGATCTCGCGTTGTCCTCACCAGTTATTCTGGCTCTTCAGGTGAGGCAGCGTGTTGAGGAAACAAGTTCAGAGAGGTTAAGCACCTGCTCAAGAACACACAGTACGTGGCCGAGCCAGGATGAGCTGAGGACTGGCTGACTCCCAAGTCTAGGGCATCCCTGCTCCTCAGCTCCTCGGGGGGCCAGAGCCCACTTTCTGCCCTGCTTTGCCACACTTCCCCCCTTGGAGAAAAACGAGAAGAGGAAGCTCAGTTGCATTCTTGGCATTGTGCCCCTGTTCTCGGTGAGGGCTGAGCTGGCTCTGCTCGTGTCTGTGGGCTCCTGGGCTGTCAGGGCCAGGGGGGCCTCTGAGGCCAGTCTGTCATGTTAAAGGAGAGACAGGCTTGTGAAGAGAAAGTGACCAGCCCAGAGTCACACAGCAAGATGAGGAGCCCAGTGCTGGATTAGGAGCCCCTTAATAATTGTCGACTCGGCTCACCTTCTGGGCATTTACAACATCTGCTTTTGTCTTTATTTTTCTGGTTGGCATATTGTTGGCATGCGAGTGGTGGGACTTCAAACAAGAGATTTACTGTAAACTTTATTTGTGCCTGTCTCTGGGGTTACTGCCTTGGAGACTTAGACACATTGCTTTGCTTCCCTTTGCTGCAGGTGTCGTCCCAACCGAGCCTTGTGCCCAGAGGCCAAAATACGGCCCAGATCTCTCGCTTCCTTTTGGCATCAGCACAAGGGGCATGCATCAGAGCAGCCTGGGTGGAAGGTGCCCTGGGACCTTCTGCCAAGCTTCCTGTTGGGATGGCAGGCCAAGTAGACTTTTGGCTGGCCTGTCCTAGCCAGCAGGTCCTCTGGAGGGCTCCTGGTCCACCAGGTAGTCGGCCACACTCCACACTGCTGTGGGCATGCTGGCTTGGGTCCTTTCTCTGTTCCCTGGAGTCCACTTTGGCCCCTTTGCCCAGGGCAAGGCCCACCTCTCCATCCCCCTTGTTCTTGGTAGCCCGCTTTGCAGTCTTCCTCGGCATTCCCACAGCTCTAGGAGTTGGAGCTTACAGGCCAGTGTTGAATTCTTCCCCCCTCACCTATGTCAGCTGCAACTCCCCATTGAAGTGACGGCCCCTCCAGGGCAGGGACCAAGTGGGTCCATCCCTAGCACGGTGCTGAGTGTGGGCTATGTGGCTAATGCAGGGAATGACCGTGTGCCACTTCAGCTGTGTGTGTTACTCTGGTCTGGGTGACCGAGGGTGGCTCTCGTCAGGAGGGGAGCGCCGGACGCGTGTGTTCCTCATCCCACAGGCACTGCTTTGGTTCTGTTGGCAGGATGCAACCTGAAGATCTTCAACAACCAGGAGTTTGCCGCCCTCCTGGCTCAATCCGTCAACCAGGGCTTCGAGGCCGTCTACCAGCTGACGCGCATGTGCACCATTCGCATGAGCTTCGTCAAAGGCTGGGGAGCAGAATACAGGTCAGGTCCAGTGCTGCGTATCACAGGGGCCCACCTGCAGAGCGTGGGGGTCCTCTGAGCTGACCTAGGCTAACCCTTGCCCCAGAGAGCAGAGACCAGGGGTGAGAGAGGCCACGACAGGACAGGAGGGGCAAGGCACACTAGATAAGTCGGTCCAGTGCTTCAGTTTCTCAAGAGCCATAAACACATGTTCCATTTCATCCTCACCACAACCCTGGGCGGGGACGCTGGCATCATCTCTGCTGTACGGACAAAGGAACTAAGGCCCCGGGCAGGGAAATGACTCGCCTGAAGTCACAGTGTCAGTGAAAAAGCTGAGCCCTGAGCCGTGTCCTCTAGGCTGCTGCTGTGTTGTTCCTCTCGGACAGGTGGCTTTCGGGTCCCCCTCTCCAGGGAGGTTAAGTCTTTACCTCATTGTTCTTTCCCTCCTCTGAGGCTCCATCTGAGACCTGGGGGACCCTGAAGATCCAGGTTATTAAAACTGAGAAGCGAGGAAGGGTGGAGGGGATTCAGGTAGTCATAAGGAAACAAAGCTTACTTGTTCGGAAAAGAAATTTTTTTTTTTGAGCATTTCAGGTATTGATTTAAACAAGGCACTAGGCGGGGTCTACCTGGCCTGCTCTGGTGAATGTCTCAGCCCGTTCTGGTTTGGGTTCAGAAAATCCAGCCCCTTTTCTTCCCACACCTGGCCAGGAGTTTCCTGAGAGGTAGGGCTGTGTGCCCCTGTGCTCCACCCCCCCACCGGCCCCCAGCTACCGCAGCAGATGCAGGGGTGCCCACACGTCAGCCGGAGCATCTCGAAGTTACTCTCCCCTTCTTCTCATTTTTCCAGATGTTTGGAATCCATTTTGTTTTGCAGCCATTCTGCACCCAGGCCAAACCCATTTCATTATTGGCTCTGGGCCACCGTTTATAATGAAATCCAGATGAGCATGACTTATGGAAAGTCAGATTCTCATTAGAGGATTTCACTCTGTAAAATCTTCTTTCATTTACCGTATTTTAGCTGCTGTTCCCTGTGTCTGCCCCCCCCCCCGCCAGGGAACATAGCGCCTTGGTCTGCGGGGTGTCTACACTCCGGGTAAGTGACCAGTTGAGCAGACAAACTGGTCAGACCTCCGCAGCTGGGACAGTCTGAGGGGGCTGAGCGCAGGCCCAGGGGCCCAGCCCGAGACTGTATAGCCCACCTTTCAGCCCTGGCTGAAATCATTCAGAGAACAAGAGGGCAAGGTTAGAAAACCAATTTTTTTAAGCGAGGAAGGGAAATACTTAAAGATGGACCCCAACGGAAAAGAGCCAGCGGAAGGTCCGTTTGCCCTTCTTACCCTCAGAGCACAGTCCGCACAGCCGCACCCAGGCGCCCAAGGCCCACACACCCACTTCCAACCCTCCACTTGGGAAATGTGCGGGCCCAGCAAGGAGGCGGCCCTCCACCTGACCCAGCACTGCAGCCCTCCAGCTCCCGGTGCTGGGAAGTGGCCCCTGGTGGCAGAAGCCTTTCCGGGACACCCTCTCACCACACAGGACATCCCGCCGCACTCCCAGTCCTGTGCAGCCCACCTCGTCACGGCCACCTGGCAGCCCCACGCAACAGTCTAACAGGAGGGTGCGGCTCCTTCCCAGAACCGTCCTGCCCTCCTCCTGCCTCTGGGGCCAAGGAGAGTAAGGTTTCATCCCTCTGTCTGTGAGGTGGCCGAAAGCAGGGCCCGGGGCCCAGGCCCCAGGCCTCTCACCTCCAGCTGGCACCAGCACCTCCGGCCTCAGCAGATAGCCTTTGCTCAGTGGAGGCCTTTGGGAGCTCGCCTGGGAGCTGCGTCATCGACCAGCCTGAATTTAGACAAAGTGCTTTGGGGAAAAGAAACGTGTGGTGTGCCTTGGTTTTTTCCAGTAATTGTTCCGTGGCTCACTCTGCTCGTAAGATTTTCCAAAATAAGGCCATAGATGGGAATTATATCAGCACATGGGGAACTGATGGCATGTGGATTTTTCAGTGCTTTGTGAAAAACACCCCTCAATCAGACAGATACGTGTCATCGTGGCCCGCTGGGGCTGCATCGGGGTCTGGAGATGGGGAAGCCCTAGGTGCCCATTTGGGACCGATGGGATCCAGGGAGACTTCTGCTCAGGCTGGAAGTTCTCCTTTGGGAGGCCTGTCATGGAAACTGGTAGACTTCGGGGTACCCTGGAATTGCCTTATATGTTTAACTCTTTAAGTGCCACCTCTTTCCTTGTCAAGAGAACTTGATTTACTCAAAGTTCTTCCTGGTGGGAGATGGTTGACCTGGTAGTTTGAGCAAGTTATTAGCACCTCCTTGAGGGTTGGCTCTGGCAAGGCAGGACATATCTGTGGCTCTAGGAAAAAGACTGTCACCAAAGCAGGACAAGGTGTTCTGTCTTGGATGAGTCCTTCTGGACATTTTTAAAGTCCCCCACCCCAACCTTTCCCGTTTCTTACAGGAGACAGACAGTGACCAGCACCCCCTGCTGGATTGAGCTGCACCTGAATGGGCCTTTGCAGTGGCTTGACAAAGTCCTCACCCAGATGGGCTCCCCGAGCATCCGCTGCTCCAGTGTGTCTTAGAGACATTGGGTGTGAAGGGGGAGGGTAAGGAGGGTGGGCTTGGGGGAGATGGCTGTGTAGGAAGTGGAGAAAATTGAAACTCAACTCACTATTGTCAAGAAGAAATTTTTCTCCCTCAACCAAAGCGGCACCAACCTGTTTCCAAAACACAGAGGCAAACCCAGAGATGGATTTTATGAACAGTGCATCTACAGAACATTATTTGCCCTTTGCATTTAAAGGGCAAGAAATGCGCTTCTACTCTGGTGGCTTGAGCGCACAGGTAGCATTTTACCACCTGCCCCTTCCCCCAACCCCCTTCTTTTTAAATGACAGCAATCTAGGATGTCACCATCCAACAGGAAACGGGCCTCTGTTCAGGACTGGAGTGTGGACTTCACCTTGGGTATTCTTCATAGTGGAGAGCCTTCAGGCGAATGAACAAACCTCATGCCCTGGCCTCTGGCACTTTGGACAAATGCCTCTTCAGCTGAGCACTCCCAAGCCCCAGGTGCTGGCAGACCCTGCATCCGGGAGCCGGACTGACCTGGGGTGGGGAGGGGCTTGTCTGTCTCCTCCCCTCTCAGAGCACACTGATTGGTGTGTGTTCTGAACACGCATGCAGGGCCAGTGAGAGAAGTTGATGAGACACCTCTTTAAAAAAAACCTTTAAATTTGTCCTCTCACTTTGAATAGTTGGAAGCATCTGCTGAGACTCAGTGTGTATCAATGTATAGTTTATATTATCACTTTAATCTCAGAGATCTGAATTACATGATGATCACATGAAGCAAGAGGCAGTTGTCGCATGATGGCATTTGGGCTAAGGCAGCACTACACTGCGTGGGTCTCCAGTCATCCTGAGAGCTCACTCCATATTCTCATGCATTCGGCTGTACTGGTTTATGTAGTCAGTTGCATTAATTAAATGAACTTTATCATATGCTCCTGTAGATGTTCCGTATTTTAAAAAGGCATCCTGAGTTGGTACATTGACTAGGAAACCAGATGCAACCCAGCAAGTTCTCTCCCAAGGTGAAGCTTTTCCAGGCTTTCTTGAGAAGACACCTGCCAGCACTTTTGGAGACTGAAATTAACAGAAGCATATTCACCAGAAGGGAAACATCTCCGGCCAACATAGGCAAATGAAAAGGGCTATTAAATTTTTTTTTACCCCTTTGAAAATTGCAGGCTTGGTGCCAGGAGGTCTGTCATCTTTTCCCTGGGATACAAGATTATTGAGCTCATGGTGGAGGATCCTCAGTGACAAGTACAGCAGTTATGTTGTGTAATCAGTACGGCTCCCACTGGCAATTAGTGAGACAACAATTATAAATTATTTCAACTGGAAAACAAAAAGCCCACCTCTGTTGCTGGCCTTCTGCAGAATACAGCAGGCAGAGCTACCACGTGGAACTGGTACTTTGTTCTTTGTTACTGTTTTTCTATGAGATGACTTACCCTGTTTTTTTCTTGCATGGATGTCTACCAGGAAAAATAAAGGGATTTCCTATGGAAGTCCTGTCTTATTCTAGGTGACGAGGAGAAAGTATATGCTTTTGGTAGGTATGAGCCTCGACTGTGATGACATCTCTGATGCTCTGTGACACTGGGGCTTCTTGGCGCCTCACCTGTGGGATCCTACACCTCTGAAGCTCAGGCCTTGAGGTGTCTGAGTAGGCAAGCTGCTCTCCAAGCCTCCCAAGGACACGGGAAGGAATGGGACAAGGACCTCACCAGACCTGTGCTATTCTCACAGGGCAGTTGACAGAGAACCCAGACAACGCAACACCCCTCTCCACCCGAGGGTCAAATGCTGCGGGTCAGAAACTTGTGCCAGGTGTAAAATGATTTGTACACCGCTGCTTACAGATACAGAAAACTGTCTGAACCTCCTGACGTGCACTTATGCTTCCAGTCAGGTCTGAGACTCATGGTATGAATACTTCATTTTGGCCTCTCTGCTGGAAATGCCACCTCCCGCAAAGCCCTGGGCAGCGGCTTCTGAGGGCGTGCAGTCTCCACCTGCTACCTGACCCCCAGCACAGCTTCCTGTGGCACCAGCTGTCCACAGGTACTTGGGCACTAGCTCCGGGTACACCCGTTTTGACTATCCAGTAGTCATGCTGGGCTACGTGTGGACAGCTTTATGGAGCCCTCAAGGCTCAGAGCGGAAGGCTGCTTCTAGGAGGCATGAAGTGTTCTGTGTTTTCCCAGAAGCTACCTACTTGGTCCTTCTCCTCTGCAGACTACACTGCTGGAGATGTGTGAGGAAATGTTGGTAAGCCCACCTTTGGCAGCACTGAAAATAAGTTTGGTAGTACCTGGATGTTAGGACTTGGTGCTGTTACCATCATGGAAGCTACGCTACGCAGGTGCTTTGGGGGCATGTGTAATAGTAGTGTCTTTCCTCTAAGTCACAAAAATACATTTTAGTTTTAAAATCCTGTTGTAGGAATGGCATTTATACATTAAAAAACCCTTTTACAGGACAGTTGAAAGAGGCAAGAGGAAATAAGGGCAGTTCCAGAGGGGTGGCAGTACCTGGCGGCCAGCAGTACTGACTGCATTTGTCTAAGCTGCACCTTGTGCGTTGCTCCTCCGCCCTGGGCTCCCTGCCACGTCACTGCTACCCTGTGGCTTGTGCTGACACTGACCTGAGGGTAGCCAGCACTGAGCAGAGGTCCGCAGCTTCAGCGACTCTCCCGGGAGCCAACTTCTATTCTCTTCCTCCCAGTCCGAACTTTATTTAGTAACTTAGATCGTTGCAGTGCAAATGTAGGTAGCTGCCCCAGCAGGTTCGGTTACGGGCCTGGGCTGGAACATCGTCTCCGCTGGCCACCTTCTTGGCAGGCTGTAGAAGATCTGATATTTCGGGACAAGCCTAGAGGCAGGAGCGGGGACTTTGACTCTTCTCTCCTAATTTAGGAAGAGCACACATGAGGGCAAGGCTGCTGGCAGACTTTTCCATTGTCCTTATGTTGTCTGTGTTGTATTTTTTTATTGACCGTGGTGATTGTTTTTTTAATCGTTAATGTATTGGAATGAGCTGTCACATGTAGCTCGCGCTTGGTTTTTGTTTTTCTCCACCTCCCCTTGATGTCCTAGGGTTTGGATATATTTCAGAGCTAAATGTTTTAACTCAAACCACATTAGGTGGCTTTCTTTTAAGTAGCGTGTGCGTGTCCTGCATATATGTGAGGAGGCTGGGGAGAAGGCAGATGCGATTCCATCCTCAGCCCCAAGCTGCCCTCACCGAGGCTCCGTAGCAGCTTCCTCCGGGCTAGCACGCACATCAGGCCACTCTACACCATTCTTAGGAGGAGGGTTCTGCAGATGGCCCATGGGACTATTTTCCAAGGGGTCACCAGGAGCAGGAGAGGGCCTGGGTTTTGTTCTGGACCCTATATCTTATTGTATGACTTTGAGTGGCAGAGTTGTTTTCCCAAAAGTTACATGAGGTCCCCACATTTGAAGAAAACCTCAACACAGCTAAGTTGTGCCATCTTTCTGTGTGACATAAATGGTCCCTTCTAGAACCCCTTGAAGTTACAGCCTTCACAATGTATATCACCCTTTTAAGGAGTCATCAGCTACTTCTCAGTGGGGTGGGCAGGCAGAAACATACACAAGAGGACATGGATGAAACAGGATGAAGCATCCCCGACGGAAGGCTGTCTGTCAGCAGGGAAATGATATACTGGCAACTTTTCAGAAACACAGCTGAAACACAGCTATCACAAAAAAACTCACCTATTGTGTAAACTGGATTGAGAAATTGATTTTTTTTTTAATGCTGAAGTAATGTACACATTCTAGCATTCTGGTGTTTTTATATTTATGTAATAATTTCTTAAAACCATTTAAGACTGGTAACTATTTAATTTTTTGAAGAAAGTTGGAAAGGTCTTTCCTCCCAAGGACAGTGGCTGGGAGGAGCTGGGGCACAGCCAGCTCTGAATGGTGGTGGAGGGTGCAGCTGACTTCCTGGCTCAGCATCCAGAAGGCCCAACCCAGGCTGGCCGACCAAGGGGCAGCATGCAAAACCAGGCAGCTGCGAGTCAGACGGAGGCCCTTCCCCCGGCTCCTTGGGAGCGGGCCCTCCGCCTTCCAGGGCTGAGCGGTGCTCAGAGCGTAGAGCCCCAGCCTGCCTCCAGGGGGCCGCCCCTCACCCGCTGTGGCCTCTGGGTGTCTGCATCGGGGACAAGATGTGCAGGCTGCTGATGACCTTCACTCCTCAGCTAGCCTGACCTTTTCATACCTTTGTAAAAAGCATGTATGTATTTATAGTGTTCTAGAAATTTTTCTAACTTTTGTATCTTAAGAGCAGAGCACCCGTCTAAGCATTGTACCCCTATTGTTTAAGATTTGTGTCCTCTCTCTCCCTTGTAAGTGCCCTTCTAATAAACTTTCCAGTGAAAAGCTCCTGCGCTCCGAGCTTGGTCTTGATGATTTACAAGCAACCCAGCAAGGTCCCGGGGGCTTCAGAGAAGGTCTCTAAGCCCAGATGCCCTTTGACCAAGGGTGTGCCAGGCCACCTCCTGCCAGGCCGCACGTGTAGCCAGGTGCACTTCCTTGCTCTCAAGCCAATGCGGAGAGCCAGTGGGGCCCCCGGGTCAGCTGAGCGGACGTCTCAGAGCCAGTGCCTTGCTCCCCACATCGAAGCACCACACAAGTCCCCATCCATGGGGTCTCTGCTTGTCATTCTGCACTCACCTCCCCTGTGCTTGCAGGCCTTTGGCAAATGACTGGACGCTACCAAGCTCATCTTCCCACAGGCCTGGAGGTAGTTTTAGATTCATAAATAAGTAGGTTTCCACACTTTCAGATGGCTCTGTCAGTGCCCATGACCATTTTAAAACTCCCAATGTAAAACGCTTCAAACTACCTTCCTTGGCTGAATCGTACACTGACCCCAGACGATCAAATTAAGAAAAAGGATGATTAAAATGAAATGCAGAATCTGGGGGAGGCGGAGGAGGATGTAATGGGGCTGGACTAAGCCTTCAGAAGGAAAACTGCTGTGGAAGTGGCCCAGCTAAAGGCCTCACCAGAGCCCAGACGCTCCTGCGCCGGCAGGGAGGCAGATATCACAGCACGGGCCCTGCCGGCCTCTGCGGGTAGCCTCCGAAGTGCATCCGGTTCCTACCTTTGTGATTACCATTTGGGCAGTTCTGCCCTCTGGCCCCCAACAACTTACCCCATGTTTTATCTAGTCTGTATTTCTCAGCAAATGACTCAAGTTCATACTCCTCCAACCCAGTCTGTTCCGTGGGCTCCACGTCTTTAAGTGCCAGCTGCCTGTTAAACATGCTCTACCGTGTAACACCTCCCAAAGCGAACCGTCTTCCCCGGCCCGAGCCGGCTCCCTTCCCTGACCTCCCGCTGTCAGCCTCCTGCGCTCCACTCCTGAGCGACCTGCTGCACTGCTGTTCCTCGCTCTCCGTCACCTCCACTACAGCTGCCCGTTCATCGAACGTCCCCTTTGGGGAAGCCCTACTTCCTGAGCCCCAGTCCTCCTCGGCCCTCTCAGGCAGTCTCCCGCTCCTCCTGAGGTGGTGTTCCCAGACCGCCGCATGGACTCCTGACATTCCTCCCCGAGCCATCATCCACCCGCATGACTTCAAACCACAGACACTGATGACTTCCAAATCATATTTATAGCCCAGACATCAATCCCAACCTTCGACATACCCAACAGACTGCTGGCTACTGGTACACGGAGTTGCCACACATACCTCAAACTCACAACTGAAAACACAGAAATCACTGCCCTTGTTAAAACATCTCCCTCTCCTCTGGCGTGCAGCCCCGTTTGCCACCCTACAGCCAGAAATCGCGGTCACCATCACTCCCTCCTCCCACACCCAATGGGTCCTGTCTCGCTCTCTGCCAGTGCTTCAGGCCCTCTAGCACTTGGATATCTTCTTAACCATACTTCTAGCCGCCGCTTTCCTGAAAATGCATCACCCACCCTGCCCAGGGGCCGACCCGACCAGAGACGCTCCTCCAGTCCACAGCCCAAAGGCTGAGTGAGGTCTTCTGCTGGGGCTCCCGTTGGAGTGCGCCTGCTCAAGGTACCCTTGTGCACCCCCCACGGCAGTGCTGCCGGTCACAGCACTCTGCCCATCCCGCCCCGCAGGCTATCTTTTGTGGCCCGTCCTGATCACTCCCTTCCCCCGAGGTGGGCAGCGAGTGCCTGAAGAAGAGAACCCACGTACTTACTCGAGTCTGCAGCCTCTGCCACACCTGGTACTGTCTGGCCCCAAGAAGGCCCCCAGTCAGTATTGGTTGGACCCTGAATTCTTGTGTCAGCTCTCACCAGAGTACAGGAAGAAGGTACAGTTGCTTTTTCTAAACTTTAAGTTTGAGGCCTTCTAACTTCACCATTTATGGCTTCCTAAGAATTCCCTGGCCTGGCAGGGTTGGGGCAGACCATGTCTTTGAGCTCCAGACAAATAATTTCCTCTCTCCTAGATTATGCTGCTGCTTCCATGACGATCCTGCCCCAGGCCTCAGGTAACCCACATTTGTGTAGCATTAAGCCACCGGGTTGACAGGAGAGAGGGGAGAGGCAGTGTCACATCCTTCACAGAGAGAACCAGGGAGGCTGGCTGTGCACGCCTCTACGTGCCCCGCTTATGCCTCCCGGATTTGTAGTTGCGGGACAACAGCATTTGAGCCTATCAGCAGATACACACAGATATAAAAGGGTTTTCGAGGCAAAAAACTATTTTTGTTTTCAAGCCTGTGTTCCAAAGATGCAGTAATGACCATTAGGTCCAGGATTTGAATCAGTACTTTTCCAACAGGAAACAAAGCAGAACTGTAAATCATTAAGAGCTGCAGTGGGGCTCAGGGGCATCCCAACAAAAGATTTTTGTTTTCAAGCCTGTGTTCCAAAGATGCAGTAATGACCATTAGGTCCAGGATTTGAATCAGTACTTTTCCAACAGGAAACAAAGCAGAACTGTAAATCATTAAGAGCTGCAGTGGGGCTCAGGGGCATCCCAACAAAAGGCCCAACTGTGCTATTACCTCTTCTTAAATTCTTCATTCTGCAAACCACAGAGAAACACCTCAGAACCCAGCAAGACACTTCCTGTACTAGCGCTGCAACACAAGCCCTTAAGGCTGAATAAAGGTGTATCCATTAAGAGCAACACTTGTAATGTTAGACCAGGCATAGGTAAGGCCCCAAATAAGGAACTTTGAGAATTTCTGAGACCCTTTCTGCCAGAGCTTCCATTCCAAAGGTGTGAGCATGGATCACTAAACTGCAAGCAGAGTCAAAGCCAAAACTAGAACCTTGCCCTGCAGTCGGCATGTTCCTTTTTTGAGACATACGAATTACGGGAAAATTACTAGAGTGTTGTTTACCAACCAACCCCATCCTAAAGGTGGTACACATGATCAGATTTTCGTTTTCTCTACCTACTGTCTAATAAGATTTGGCATTTAACAATACAATGCTGTCCCTAATTGTCTTATCTATTTTAACATCTCTGGGGTAAACGGGAAACTCTTAACCCTTTACAGCATTCTCTGGAACTCTTGTCTCCATCCATCGGTACCTTCAATGAATCAGAACCTCTGATCACACTTAGACACGTGTTTGCTAAATTTAGCTTTGCATCAGCAAACGCTCAAGCTCAGAATAGTTCACGGAGCTCTCATCTTACCCTTAGACAGTGCTTATTCTAAGACTGTTTTCCCGAGGGAGGCCAAGGGGCACTCCACGTGCTCTCTCGACGGCCATTGTTAAGACACTGGCCTAAGGTTAAAGCCACGGCAGAAATGTTCATCCCCACCTCTCGACAGTGGGAACATGAAGTTAGCTGTATATCACATTTCGTGCGTCACAGGCAGTTTGCAGTAATGGCCTGACATGCTCTGTGGTCCTTGAACCACATCCCACATTACTCAGCCATCTAAGTCTAGCTTCCCTGAATCTCCAGCTTCTCTGAATGAGACGTGGCCAAGTTCTATAAATAGAGAGCAAGCAAACTGGTTCTGTCAATCTTCTCATACTCTGGCAGGATCACATATTTTAAAATTATAAAAATATCTATGTCTTCATCACTCTAAAATTATTACATAACACATGGTTTTCTCGGGGAAAAAAAAAATGTTTATTTTTGTCTCTCCCTACCAGCACTCACGGACCTTCAAACTTTGTGATTGTATTCCTCAAACTATCAAATCCAAATCCAAACGAAAAATAAGGTTTTACTATGTGCCAGACACTGTGCTATGCAAATTGAGAAATGTTTAAGAGGAAGAAAAGCCAAGGCTCTCATTTGAAACCCCAGATGGACAGTCCGTAATAACTTGGGGCAGCATGTACACAGGTCACTTTAGATAGACGGCAGCATTTACTGCACTATTACCTCACGATCACACTTCTTAAAACAGGACCCTTCAGCAGATACCACTGCGTATTTTTAGCTCACAAGTCCCCTAGCAGGGGCCTATATCCTAAACTCCAAGACTAAGGTCTTGAAAACATGAGCTGATGTTATACGTATGTGTGATGGATTCCAGAATAGTGAGTTTGACAAAGTCTTAGACTGTTCACTAAAACACCCTAACAACACACATTAGACTTTATAAATAAATCACATTTTAATCACCTGACTTTGTTTAGCTCACAAAATCAAGTTCACAGCTTCTTCGAGTCTGTTTTTCCTAACCATATGACCTAATTTTCTGAAACCTTTCATGGCTTAAGAAAAACATGTTCTATCTTTCATTTTACAACCCCAGAGCCAACTTCCCTTACATTCCTAATCAATGGCTTATATAGTCACCTCAAAGAAACACTGATGGGACAAATTAGTCTCAAAGACCTTCAGAATAGTTTAAAAAAAAAAAAAAGAGGTTAAGAAAAAGTCACCAAAGAGAACTTGCAAGGTACCCTGGAATGGCTCTTCTTGAACGTTCCAGCCACTGAAACCGTCCCTCCTGTGGCCACCCCGGCCTGCTTCCTGGAGCGTTCCACTCACTCTGCCATCTGTTTCAGGGTCAGCAGTCCTTAGATGCTGGTGGCAAGGAGGGTCTGAAACTCGTTTCTTCTAGTGACCTAGGCCTACCCGGGCAGCCCTCAGCCCCGTGCCACGTTAGAGCCGTGGCAATGACTACCACAGTGAAGGCTAATGACAGGCACTATCAAGTGTCTACAAAAAGAGAAAGAAGGAATTTTATGTGCTGTTATTTCCCTCTCTTCCTTTGGAAACTTTCCTGATCAGTTCCCCTGGGGCTCACCTACCTCAGCCCAGGAAGTAACTCAGGGCACTAAGGACTTGGCTGCCTGACATCTCACAGCCTGTCCCGCCTTGCCCTCTCCTCAGTGGTACTAGTTTGGCAGGGTTCTGTTTGGCTTTCAGAGAGAAAACGTGCCTTGTTCTGAGGGTACAGAGTATGACACAGCACAGCACAGCTCTGACATCTCAACAGCGAGGGAAATGCTAAGGAAGAAGAATTTCTTCATGGAAGCACTAACGCACAGCTCTCAGTACGTGCCCATGTAGCATTTCCATGGCTCACCCAGGGAATTCTTTGTTTCTCTCTCTTATACCCCCAACCCTAACAACTTCATGGAGGGGTTTGTTTTATTCCTATCAGGGTGGACACCTTTGCCTCATTTATTATAGTCTAAAAATTCACACTGCTTGCTCAATGCATTTATCATGAACTCAGACACTACTTTAAATGAAATGCCCAGAGCCTTTCTTAGCTGGAGACTAACCCGAGGGCCACTGACTTTGGCCCCACTAGCACACATCCAACGGGCTGCTGCTTCTCTTCCCCCCTCAGACGCATCAAAGCTCAGCGCAGCAAGCTCCCTGGACGCAGAAAACCCAGACCACCAGGGAAGGCGGCCCGAGTGCTCGATCTGAGGCAGCACAGTGCGAGTGCGGGGAAGGCCACACCAGAGGCCCGGGAGTGGCGTGGTGGTTTCCTTCTTGAGCGGGCAAAGCACACGGCCCTCTGAGCCTCATCACACTCCTGTCCCTGGAACAAAGAAGTGTACTTGCAAAGTTCTCCCTCCTTGCTGTCATTTTACTCTTCACTCCGTTATAACTGAGGAAGGAAAGATTCCTCCTTAACCTCCTACTAAAAACTAAAATTAAGAGGATCCTATATAAACAAGTCGGGAGGGCAACATGATGATGGGAAGCTCAGCGAGAGTCCAAAAACAACTGAGAAGGGCAGTGTCTCAGGCAGAGCGAGCCTCTTCGTTAAGCCCTGGCGTGAGCGCTTCAGTACTCCTCATCAGATGAAAGGCCCGCAGTTTCCTCCCTGTCTCCCCCGATCGCCGTCCAGAACGCTTTGGCCACCTGTGGAAAGAAGCATGCGAGAAATTTTAGGCAACAGCTAAGTTCCATGTCATACTTTGAACTGATTAAGACCTAAAATTCTGTAGCTTACCCTTCAGCCCTCTGGCAACATATATGGAAACCCTTGGATACCCTGACCCAGGACTTTTGCTCCTAGAAATTTACGCTAAGGATACAATCAGAGTTGTATACAAAGGTGAGGTGTAAGGATATGCACAGTTTCACCATTTACACAAGCAAAAGATAAATGTGACCTAAATGTCAAAAAGGGACCTGGATAAATTATTTTCATACAATGGAATACCATAAACCATATACGCTTCCTGCCAAGAACATCTGTTGCATTGGTAATAACAAAACAAAACAATGCAAAATAACTAAGAGTTTTCCAGCCCAACAGTTAGGAAGGCAAACATCCTGAGTCTCAATGAAAGCTCCACATCACTCAACACACATTTGAAAAATCTTGGTTTGACTGCAACACCTATGTTACTACTGTTCAAATATTCAATTAGTTATAAGTTAATATCTAATGAAAAGTTCACACTAAGTCACTTTAGAAGTCAACAAGTATGATACATAATTTTGACAACCTGGACCTTTTGGAGGCCCTCAGTAAATATCTGATCGTCTCACCTTCTCTGCATGCAATTTTCTTTGTTCGTGAGGAAGCGTCGCAGCCTTGTCTAGAGGGAAAATATATCTTAAGAAATTCATCTAAGAGCATGGAAGGGTCTGGAGTGTATGGTGGTTCTAACACTAGAAAATGGGAGATGGGTTTCAAAGACATATGTTTATGGTGTGGTCAATACAGTTGTTAGGAATTTTAAGTCTTCCAAATTTTCCAGATGGGAATGATGTGGGAAATTAGTAGGGATCTTACTGATTCCATGTTAATGAGACACAATGAAAGAAACAGAGGCAAGAAAAAAATGGGAAAGAAAGAGGAAAGAGAATAAAGAAACAGGAAAATTTTCCCCAGGGAATTTTTACCAAGAGAGGCCGGCACAGTCCCCCTGTAGCTAAGTTTCTCAAAGACAGCTGAGAGCAGACCATGGAATCCAATCAGCAGTTACAAAATAATATCCTACTGCATAAAATAGAGGAGCAGCAATATGGGAATATGTCAAACACAATGAATCTGGTTACCTTTCATTTCCTTTAACTTTGAAAACAGTCTTTCAAAATTCTCCAAATCTCCTCCACCAGTAGTAAGACTGGCTAATTCTTGAATATCCAGATCTAACACAGGATCTGAAATAAGGATTCATCAAATTATTTGTGCACATTTCTTACATATGTGCTAAGTACACAAAATCCTAAGGCAACTGATCCTAGCTTTGCTGAAAGTCCCTGTGAATGAGAGCCCAGTGGGCACAGACTTCACAGCTCCTGAGGCTTCACCCTGCACGGCTGCCAGGGGACCTTCACAAGTGAACAGTAACTTATTTCATCCTCACAGCACTGAAATGAGGCAAGGAACACTGTTTCCACTGTAGAGATGAGGAAACTAGAGCTCTGAGTTGAAGTGACCTTGGATTCAGACTTGGGTGTTTCCAATTGTAAAGTCCACACTCTCCACTAAGGTCACCGATTCAACAATAAATGACTGAAATTTATACCGTATTTTACTGTAACACAAATATTTTCACATCTTTTACAGCCACCACATAAGGTGGTTAGGACAGGTATCAATGTCCGCAACTGACACACAAAGAGACTTGGATTAAAAAAGGGACTCATTTAAAATTAGAGTTGTTCTGAGGTAGCGCCAGTTTAAAAGTCCTATTTTCTCACTATAAATCTTTTACTATTTCTACCTCAGCATGTAGCCTGTCAAAGTTTTTTTTTTTTTAAATCAGAATCTTTATTCATTCTCCACTCCAGGCTGACCACTTCTAGGACATCTTCCCTGGCGTCTCAGCTCACAGGCCTTCTTCCTTAGAATCCACCCACATTTAGTGTTTATAGAATTGTCTTGGCACTGCCACGTGCTACTCTGTGTTCTGACATCTCTCCACCACTACTATAATAAGTAGGCTACAGCAAGAGAGAGTTTATTTTGTGTCTGCACCATTGAGTGCTTTAATTTACATGATTCCATTTCATTTTTGCAAACAGAGTTGTGAGAAAAGATTTGTTACCCCTGTTTTACAGAAGGGGGAACTAAGGCCCATAGAGACTAAATAACTTATTCAAGGTCATCTCATTTCTAGTGAGAGAGCCATGGTTTTGAATCCAGTTGTCCAGGACTCTCATGACTGTAGCCCTTACAATACACGGCCTGTCTCTTCATTTTGACTGTTAAGTCATTTGAAGACAAGGATGGTAACTTATAATTCCTTCCATTTACTACAATCCTATAGAGATAATTTGGTATTAAAAATGCATTTTGGTTAACAAATTTGCTTTAGCTCAATGGGCAAGTCATGTAGGTAGTTGGTATATGGGACTAGAGATAAAAATTCTTGCTTTATCTGTGTGTAACTGAATGGTGGATGTGCAGAGAACCACTTTGTGCCTAAAAATAAAATGTGGAAGAGAAAGTTAGATGAAACATTGAGAAACAGCAATATTTAAAGGCTGGGTAAAGGAAGGTCATCTACCAAAGAAAGAGAAGGAATAGCTAGAGAAGTAGGAAGGAAACCAGGAGACGTGTTGGGCGAGTTAAGAAAAAATGTTTCAAAAAGGGATTGATCCATAATATTGAATGTTGCTGAGATGTCATAATGAGGACTGGAAAATATCTATTAGATTTAGTGGCATGGAGGTTGCTGGCGAGCTGTTTCAGTGGCCAATGGCGGCAAAAGCTCTGTAATCATGAGTTGAGGAGTGAATGGGAGGTGAAAAATGCAAGTAAGTTCAGTAAAGAGAAAAGGAGGGAGATGTGGGCTGAGGAAGTATTTTCTTCCTGCTCATTTGGTTTAGCCTTTTTGTTTTTTTATTTTATAGCCCTACAAAAACGTTGCAAAAATAGTAGAGAGTTCCAATATGCCCTTCACCCACTTTCTCCTAGTGTTAACATCTTATATAACCATGGTGTAATTATAAATGTCAAGAAGGTAATGGTGCAGCGCTATTAACTAAGGTACAGACTTCATTCCAACGTCATCAGTTTTCCCACTAATATAGCCTATTCCTGGGTCCTACACGGAATTTAGCTGTCACATCTCCTTAGCCTTCTCCGATCTGTGACAGCTCCTTAGTCTCCTCGTCTCTCATGACTGACACTTTTAAAGAGAAGTGGTTAGTTACTCTGTATAATGTCCCTCAAGTTGGGTTTTTTGATGTTCTCTCATTAGATCGGGGTTATGAACCTTTGACGAGAATCCCACAGACGGGATGTGCCCGAGTGCACCACACAGTGGGAGGTGAGGTTAGCCTCGCCACAGGTGATGCTGACCATCACGTGGCTAAAGTGGTCTCTGATGGGTTTCTCCAGTGGTAAGCTACTATTTTCCCCTTTGTAATAAATAAATACCTTGGGAGAGGCACTTTTAGACTATGCAAATGTCATGTTTCTTCTCAAACTTTCATCTAATAATTTAAACATCTGTCAGTGGGTCTGCCCAGCAGCAACTATTACTTTGATGTGTGCCTAATGATGATTTTCTATTTCCTGCATTCCTTCTATATTTATTAAATGGAATTCTTCTCTAAGAAGCAGCAGCCCTTTCTGTTCCAGTTAGTTATTTACTCAACTGATTTTAGTATAGACTCATGGATATTTATTTATTCAATGGATGAGATAGCCCAATACTATATTAATTTAATTTACCAGTCACATTGTTCCAGCATTAGCCCACTGGAAGGTCTTTCAGGTTGGTTCCTGTGCCCTTTCAACATGTCCCATTCTTTGTGTATTTCCTTACTTTCTGGTCCCATGAGATGTTCTAGGTTCATTCATCCTGCTTTTTTTCCTGCCTCGGCCCTGGAATCAACCACTTCTCCGAGTAGCCCTGGATCCTTTTATTGGAGAACGGTATTTAGAAACAAAGATCTAAATGCTGAGTACGTCCACTGCTGCTGGAGTATTGTTGCTTCTAGGCTCTTCTCCGTGGAGAGAGCTAGGAAACATTTATACTGTATACAAACACATGCATATGTATATGTGTATTTATTTTTCTATCAATTTAACTGTATTTTTAAAAAGCAAGAGTCCATACTGATACCTTCAGTTCTAGTCCAGTACCGAAGGATTCATCCCAGCCCTCTCCTTTCCTTACTAATAATTTCTTTCCCTGACAGCAAGTAATGTAGCTCTCATTCTATTTTTTTCCAGCCCTGATATACATAAAATACATGTAATTTCAGAACTTCTAACCCATACCCCTGTGTGAATCAAGTTTATTAAGCAGAGTTCACTATTTCTTTCAGTTCTTTCTGTTTTTAACCTTATGGTATCCAGTCAGAACACTGTATTCCCAAGTTTCTTAGATTAGTTCTTGTCTTCCCCACCTCCTTCAGCGTGGTTAATAGTTTATTTTCACGGCAGGTTTAAAAGCCAATAGGAAGGATTTAATTGAGAGGACAAGAGCTTACATGTAATTTTTTCTTCTTAATAGGTTTCTATAATCAATCACGTGAGTTTTCTATATGGATTACCTTATAATCAGAAAAAAAGTTTTAAAAATTATTACTGCGCACGGGCCCTCTGTGGCATAAATAGAAAGTAGAGATGTCAGTAGTTCCTCAGTAAGAGAACACTGTTACTGTCAACTGAGCTTCCTGGCTTTTTGGCTTTTGGACAGAAGAGTGGATTCTAGTTTCAGTCCCAGGACCTTCTTATCAGATGCTCTTGGACAAGCTATTTAAACTGCTCTGAGCCTCAGCTTCGTCTCCACAAAATAACTTCTCTGCCAAGCTTCATTACCAAACAAGAAAATGAATATTAAAGAACTTTAAAAGGATGTGAAAAGGCTTCTAAAGTTGTATTATTCTTGCTACCATCAATTCTGACAACTCTTAAATACTATGAAAAATCTGTGGAATATGAAGATACAAAACTGTTTCACCACCAAGTTCTGTCTGTCTTTGCTAAGATGATCTGAATCAAGATCCTGATTAAGAGAATTACAGAGAAAATAGTACCCACACTGGCTATGTAGTTATTCTCTCTTCTTTTTCTGACAGCCACAAGACTCACATTCATTTGGTGTATACTACACTATCAATTTTCATCCCTTATCCATGTTTAAAATCAATTTCCTTTGACTTATGCCCCACACTTATTCCAAGTTCCAGAGAGCTGTCTCTTGGCAGCCAAGGAGGAACTTACCCACAGTGCTATCAACCTGAGTATCTGTTGTGTTAGATGCACCACCCCGGTGATCCAAGAGGCATTCAGTCCTATCTGCTGCTGGCAAACGGGGCTGCTGCTGAAGAATATACACACAGGCAGTAACTTAATAGTAGGCTATTCCAGAACTAAAGCCAAAAAGGTTCACAGTTACTCCCTGGTGGGCTTTAGAGAAGTAGTAATAGGAGCGAGAGACAAGGAAAGACAGAAGAAGAATCAATGTCATATAAAAAAATTAGAAGCTAAAAAATTCAGTAGGAGTATTTTACCCCAAGGAAAAACTAGAACATGCTTTGATTTTGCTATGGGTTTTTAAGCATGCTTTTTGTGTTTTAAGATCCATGGTTTATTCAAAATGTAACGATGAACACAATCATAGTACAAAGAGCTCAGAGAATGGTGAAAAAGATGCCTGGAAAGACAACGTGGCACCATGTCATCTGCTCTTGATTCCAGCACGTTCACTGAGGTAAGCCTGGACGGAAGTCCTGAGGCCAGAGAGTTGAAATCAGACTGTGAAGCTCACTGAGGGTAGGGACCTTGCCTCGGATTTGTACAGGGCTTTGTACCCAGGAAGTACAGAAAAAGAATCAATTTCATTTTATATTTAAAGATCTGGAGGCAACTTTATGCCTCAGAGAAATGCTAGCACATTTTTAAAAGCACTCAAGCAAAGAAAACATGGAACAAGCCCGCACTGAAGCATCCTGACAGGGCTTACTAGTCAACCAGCCTTCTCCCAACAGGTACAAGACGGCTGCTTTAGAGTCCCCTGTTAAAGTATTTTCTGCTGCCTCTTAAATGGAGGGGGGGGAAAAAAAAGATAAAGTGGTGTAAACATTCATAATGACAAGAAGAAATTACAGCCAAAGCAGAGAGAAGATCCAGGAAAAATCTTTACCTCTGAGTGACAGCTCTCTGCCGCCCCAGCGCCACGGTGTGCTCCAGCCAGTGAGCTGAGAAGGCCAAAGCCTTGGTTCCTATCTAAAAAGAAAAAAAAAAAAAGTCACTGAAATCTGTTGTTTACATTTAAAATTGTTAAAATGAAACAATGGCTGGTTCCTCATTATAAAAATTCTAATTATAAAAAAGTTACTACCAATTACCGCACTCTCTTGACTGTGAATCAGTTTTGACCCTCACAGAGCATTAGTCCGGGTCCAGGTCAAACGTAATGGCAGGGCCCTTACGACAAACAGAAGGCTGCGCAGTGGCTCTGTTTGCAAAGGTTAACAGCACTCATGGTTTAACAGTCACCGTGAACTGACATTCCAGTGTTTTAAACCATCAAAACCATTTTAAGAAAAATCAACACCAAGGCGTTATCAGGTGAAGAGGCACATGCATGATTTTAAAAATAAAGCTCTAAGTTTGATCCAGTCAGACCTTTCGCAGTAAGGCTTCCAGTGCTCTCAATGCTTGCATCTCCAATGGAGGACAAACTAGAGAACATCTAGAACTGATGGAAATAGAAGCATCAGCCTTGCTTAGGCAATGCTCCCCAGAATCACTGGCAGAACTCACTACAACGTCCCCGGCCGTCAAGGACCCTACCTCAGATCGACTTAAGCAGAATCTCTGGGACAGCGGCCACGGAATCTGAACTTTTAGCAAGTACTCTAAGGTAGCAGGATCAGAGACGTTTGAAACAAAACAAAAGCAACACTGCCTTAGAGCAGAACACAAAACCCACAATCCAAGAGTTTAGGAGTATAGAACCCAAAGAACTCTCTAAAAAAGGCAACTTCCTCCTACCACGCCTTTCCTCTCCCTATTCCTTCCCTGAAGCCATTCTCAGTTCTCTTTAAACCACCCACAAACTTCCTCCATCCTCCCCCCTGCCAGGTGCAACCTGCTGTCATAGTCACACAGAGAGGTATTAAAGAAACACTTGTCGTTCCTGCCCTCCTTGGGGACATCTGCTTTTCAGACTGGGATGAAGCTCCTCTCTCGCACGAACGCTAGGTGTAGACCTGCAGCTTTGCCCAGCCTGACCACCCACCATGTGGGCACTCACCTCACCTCTAACTACTGCACTTGCTTATGTTTTTACAGCTACAAAATGCTGGGCAGCACTAAGAGCCTGTGGCTGCCCTGTGCTCTGCTGCTCCACACCCCCACAGTGACAGCGGGGCCACAGGTGCACATGCACTCCTGGGGCCCCTGTCACCTCCTCGCCCGACTTGCTCACTCTGCTAGAACTCCCTGGGCCAAATGCTGGGGTGTGCCCCACCCAGAACCAGGCAGCAAATTTCATGAAGGTAGGCAGTGGAGCCTTGAGAGGCAGGAAGAAGATCCATGTGTTGTTCCTTCCCGATAGTTTCACAGAGCCTGGGGGTTTGTTTAAATACCAGCACAACTCTTTCTTTCTGGCCAATGCGATAATAGATTTTAAAGCAGTTGTATGCAGCTATGCAATACTAGACAGGTATTTTACATGTTATGAGGATACATGAGAGCTCTTATAAGGTATTTTAGGCTCTTTGTACAAAAGGCCTAATCTGAGAGAGCCCTCACTTCTATTACTCAAAAGAACTTGGACTTGGGGTAACTTTCAAATCCAGTTCACAAATCTCTCCATATTCCAATTCTACAACTTAACGGTTTTTTCTCTGTTGGTATTACCTAAACTTGGCAGGCCAGACTGCAATCCATAAAGAATAATGCAATACAGTGTCAGTTTAGGCATGTTATTAGACCCAAATTGTCTATTTAGAACTCCTTATTCTTTACAGTGGCTGCCTCCACGGAGGGAATCTAGGATGGAGAGGAGTTAGAAGCCAGACCTGTCACCACAGACCGTCAACCTCTTCTGTGTGCCTGTTGGCTTTTGTTCCATGTTTACCTATCAGAGGTTTTAACTTAATGATTATATGCTGTGTATATTTTATCACAACAGCAAAAACCTGAGTGTCCCAATTCTGATAATGGATAAAATGATGCAAAAGAACAATGGAAAGAGAACTGGGCTAGTGGGCAGAAAGCCTGAACTTCATTCCTGGCTCTGCCTACCAGCAAGACCTTGGACAGATTAATCAATCTCTGTGCCTCAATTTTCTGATCTGTAAAACAAGACAGTTGCTACACACGGTTGGATCCTTTTTGCTCTAGACGTTTGTGGTTTTATGAAATAAAGAGGAATTCTTTAGCCTCTCTTGACAGTAACTTTGCATTAGTTGGGCTTAGGTGTTTTTAACAATTACCTAGTAGAGCAAAAAACAAGAACCTGCAATTTCAGAACCTTTTGAAGTTCAAAGACAACCATGAAGGGTTTCAGATAATAAGCTGGATGGACTTCAGCTCAGTGTTCTCTTATAAACAGTGAAGAATTTAGTCAACTAATGAGTGCTCACTAGTTCCACTGCTTATGTTTTAAGGGAGTTAGAGACATAAATTTTTACAATTAGAAGAACAATTTATTTTTGCTTATCCAAAGCAGACTGCTCGCACATTTGTGTTGCTCAAAAAACTTGGATATTTTATATACCTACGGTTTTAAAGAAACTCTCAGTTTTGCCTAGTTCAATGTTTAACAAAATTCTGCCCATGTGCAACCACTGTAGACCATTCTTCTCATAGAAAAGAATTACGTAAATTTTTTGCTTGCCAGATTTTTCTCCCCAGGATTCAGGGCATGGAAATGTCATCCCTATTCAAAGGGATTTATTCCTTTAGCAGGGAGTTGATGAAATTGGCTTTAGCATCTCTGGTTTTAATGACACCACAAAATAATTAGACTAGGAAGGAATAAATTATCCACCTACTTAACTGATTCTTCTGGAACATCAGAGTTGCAGAAAGGGGTAAGTTGTTAAGTGGTGTAAAATAAACTATTCTGGAAGGCACAGTAAGTATTTTAGACTCTGGTCCTAAAAACATCTAATTCTGTTTCGGCAAACTAGCAAATTGGCACCAGTATAAAAACAGATAAAAATGATAGTCTCATGAAAAACATCTAGTGGCGCTGGTCAGCATAGAATTCTTCTAGGAAGTGTCTGAAACAAAACTACAGCCTTTTCAAAGATTTGAAATGGGAATTTTCAAGCCTTGGGGAGGAGCTTATATTTATGTATTTATTTTTTAATATAAGTTTCAAGAAAATGGAATACATGAAACTGTATTTCTTTACAAACCCAAAGGCACATTATTATAGAAACATAAAATATATTTCAAACAGCAATTTTTACTTTCATTATAGGGGACATTTAGAGAATTAAAAACCTAGACAGAAAAGGAACTTCTGTATGGGCAAAGGGGAAAAGGAGTTCTTAAAAAAGTGTTTTTTTCTGTCTACTTTTTCTGCTTATCTCCCACTCCTCCACTTTGTTATCAAGGAAATATAATAAGCATAAGAGTTTGAAGAGAGAGAAAAGCATGGATTTGAATCCTAGTTTTACTACTTAATGTGTGGCCTTACACAAATTAGGCCCTCTCCGTACTTCAGTTTCTACATTTGTGCAGTGGGTATAACAATACTTACCTTGCACAGCTATTGTAAAGGTTAATAACAATAGCTAACATGTACTGAGTCCTCAAGATGTGCAGGGTAACATCCTAAGTACTGGGCACACAATGCTTCTTTAATCCTCACAACAAAATATAATATGCCTTCTACACACAAACAGAAATCAACAAATATCTTCTTTACATTATTCTCTTTTACACAGGATTTATTATTCTCTCCTACAGAGTAAACTACAACTCAGAAAGACTAAGTTACTTGTCCAAAGTGACACAGCTAGAACCTGAATTTGAAATCCAGAACTGACTCTAAATTCCATACTCTTTCCAATAAGCCCAGAGGTAACACGTAAAGAGTTGTCAGTCAACATCTGATATACAAATACTGCATATGACACAAATGTGGGTCAAAGGCAGAAACATGTCTTTTTATTCACATATGTAAGCTCTCTTTTGTCAGTATTCCTTCATTATATCCTTGGTTGAGACTGATTTTTAACTGAACTGAGATGAACAGCTCAGGACTGAATAATAAATCATAATGCCACTTCACTGCCATTCATCAGCTGATCCTAGCCCAGCCCCTCAAACCCCTGGAAGCAATCAATGGTCACACAAAACTAGTGGCAGACAGGCGGTTAGGCCCCCCTGCACCTTTACTGACCCTCAAATGCAAGTAGACAAGGGTTTCTCAATCTCAGCCCTACTGACATTTGAGGTCGGGTAATTCTTTGGGCGGGTGTGTGTGTGTCGGGGGAACGGGGAGGGAATAGAGTCCAGTGCATCCCTGGCCTCCACCTACCGCGCACCTATAGTACTACCAAATGTCCCCGGGTGTGGGTGGGTGGCAGCCGCGCGCGTGTGTGTGTGTGTGTGTGTGTGCGCAAAATCGCTTCCAATTAAGAATCACTGGTATGGATCTACTAATTAGATGGCAAAATTTTGGCTACAATTCTCAGGTTTTACCTCATTTCTTGAAAAGATTTTTCAATGAAAAGAGAGAATAAAAACAGTTGAGATTCAATCTTTGCCTTGTATCAGCATTAGAAATATCTTCCCCTAATCTGAGAACTTCTCTAGCTGATTTTAGCTCATTTTTGTTTCTCCCTCAGTACCATTTGCCTTTGTTGTCCTTACAGTTCAATTAGCCCAAGAGAGAACATGTAGTATAAATACTTGTCGAGTTTGCCTGCGATCCTAAACTATATTACTAACTGAGCAGACACAGACCACAGCGAAGGTGTGCCTTCCCCAACTCCCACTACAGTGCGAAACATACGGCGGGATGCTGAAATACTCGCTGACGGCCTGATAACATTGGCAGACAGGGGCTGTGAGCAGCAGTTAAAGCTTTTACTTCAAATTTATATACACTGCTCATGTGATTAAGAATTTCCATGATCACACCCCCAAAGTGCTCCCATAATGACCTGATGTATTTTCTGTGTTCATATTTCAGCTTTTATTCTGCTAAAGCAGCAGTTACGTGGCATATCTTAACAAGTTCAAGGTTTCCCCATATTCTAAATTCTCTGTACATCCTCTTTCTCTCCCCACAAAATATTTTCTTTTCCACCCATGTGATAAACATGACCAAACTTAAAATAACCACAGGATATATTAATCTACATAGAGACGCTGTGCCTATTTTTGATATTTTTTAATTACACCATACTATTTGCATAAAAACTCCTTCTCCTTCTCAGCAAGTACTCCATCAGAAATGATTTCACTAGTATTAGGGAAATAAGCCTGCCCATTTACATCACATTCCACTTCTGCTTGACAAATTTAAATGTTTTCAAAATCACAAAGAATTGGAAGAACTGATTTACTCTCTTGTGCTAAACTACTGCTTGAAAAGGACAAAACTGAGTACATTATTAAAAACAGCGCTTATTTAGAGAAATGGGCTTACGCACTGTTTCCGGCTCCAACCTTGGCTTTGGATTCAGGAAAGTGGATCCGTACTCTCCCTATGACACCCGGGCCACCTGCTCCTAAGTCAAGAACTGTTTCTGCCAATACTTGAATACATAATGGTAACATGACCAGAAAGTAATCAGGCCATGTTTTTTCCCTTTTCCTGATTGTAAACAGTATGTTCATTATTGAAAATTTAGAGAAAAGAGAAAAGTGTAAAGAAGAAAAGTCACCAAAGATGCCAATTAGTACTTTGGTATATGTCCTCCTTTGCACACACACATATACACACTAATTCTCAGTAAAGAGAACTAAGCTCAGAATGAGCTTTTTGAAAAGGAAACAGTTGCGAAGGAAGCTTTACACTAATTTCAATAATGGTTCCAAAGTCCTATCTCCAGGGCCTGATGCACATTCTTGGAAATCCTAAAGGGAATTTTCAGAATCAAGAAAAAAAAAATCAATCAGAACCAAGTGTGGGAATAGTGAGAGCAAAAGATGACTTTTCTTATGTGGTTTAAAATGTTCTGCAAGGTGGCCATGAGGATGCCTTCAGTGCCTCCGAGGCAATTCATCTGAGGGGACTCCCCACAATTCAGTTACTTACGGACAATTTTTGAAGGTGATTTATTTTTTAAAACAAAGTCTCATCATTTTACTCATACAATTAGTTCCCTTTCATCCTAACTGTTCATAATTCCCTCTTTCCCTTTTTCTCTTACAACACACTGTCTTCCTCCAAATTATGTCCTCTGCTCACACACACACACACACACACAGAAATCACTAATGCAATAATAAAAATGAGTCATAGGAAATATATATTTGGTCATATGAATATATATTTCCCGCGTATATTTGGTCTTTACCCACAGTTCCTGTAAACACTGCAGTCTTAAAGGTGAAATGGGTGTTTTGTCATGTTAATGAGAGATTTTTAGACTCCCACGCATGGGCAGGGGCTGGAGGCTGAAATCAGCCAATGGTCAATAATTCAGTCAATCATGACTAAGCCATGAAGCCCTCATGCAAACCCCTGAGAAGAGCTTAGAGCTTTTTGCTCTGCTCAGTTGGATCCTGCTTCTAGGGGGGGAGACATTCTCTGCTTGGGGAACCAGAACACCTCCACGTGCCACCGAGCAGGCCCCGAGCTCCACGAGAATAGAGGCTCCTTTTTTAGGATCTTGCCCTGTGTATCTCTTAATCTGGCTGTTAACTTGTATCCT